AGCAAGACAGAATAATGGAGAAACTTCTAAAAATAAAGAGAATTCTAGAAATTTCTCTAGAAACAATCAAGATAAATATCCTCCATGCAGCATCTGTAAGAGGACAAATCATGCTAAAGAAGAATGTCGGTATCATGGAAAACCACAATGTCGACACTGCAAGAAATATGGACATATGGAAAAGTATTATCACAATAAAAACAAGTATCAAGCAAATTTCGCTTAAGAGGATGATCGAGAACCACATCTTTTCTATGTTACCCAAGATTCCAGTACTGAAACAAGCGGAAATTGGTACTTGGATAGCGGCTGCAGCAATCACATGGCCAAAGATATAAACATCTTTAAGGATATCAATGAATCCATCAAAGTGAAAGTTCGAATGGGGAACGGTACTATCGCTGAGTCAAAAGGCAGAGGCACTGTTATGGTGGAGACAAAAAAAAGGTACGAAACTTATTACTGATGTCTTACTAGTCCCCAACCTCAAGGAAAATCTCTTGAATATTGGCCAAATGATGGAGAAAGGTTATTCTCTTCACTTCAAAAGGGACACATGTAAGATATATGACAGCAAAAAGTAAGAGATTTGCCAAGTAAAGATGGAGAAAAGAAATCAAAATTTTCCAATAAGCTTTCAACAAGGCACAAATATTGCCATGAAAGCAGAAGTTGCTACTTCACGACTTTGACATCGAAGATTTGGCCACTTCAATACTCATGCCTTAAAACTTCTACATAAAAAGAATATGATGAAGGATCTTCCATGTCTTGAAGAAAATAATGAAGCTTGTGAAGGATGTCTCTTTGGCAAGCAACATCGACTCCCATTTTCTACTGGGAAAGCTTGGAGAGCAAAAGACTTATTGAAACTTATTCATACAGATATTTGCGGACCAATGCGGACACCATCACTTCATGATAACAGGTATTTTATCCTTTTCATCAATGATTTTTCTAGAAGGACTTGGGTCTACTTCATCAAAGCAAAGTCAGAAGTCTTTGGAATATTCAAGAAGTTTAAGGCCCTTGTCGAGAAGCAAAGTGGTAAACAGATAAAAGTATTAAGACGTGATCGTGACAAGGAGTATACCTCTCAAGAGTTTGATAAATTCTGTGAAGATGAAGGCATTCAGCGACAACTTACTGTCACATATACTCCACAACAAAATGGAGTAACTGAGAGGAAAAATTGCACGGTAATGGAGATGGCTATATCTATGGTAAAGGAGAAAGAATTGTCAAATACCTTCTGGGCTGAAGCATGTTATACTGCTGTCTACATACTTAACAGATGTCCAACTAAGGTTGTCCAAGATAAAACTCCAATTGAAGCTTGGAGTGGGCAAAAACCATCAACAAAACATCTAAGAGTTTTTGGATCAATTTGCTACATACACATTTCAGAAGAGAAGAGACACAAACTAGAAGACAAAACCGTACGAGATATCTTCTTGGGATATAGCACACAGTCAAAAGGATATCGAGTCTACAACATGCAAACCAAGAAACTCACCATTAGTCGAGATGTTGAAGTTGATGAAAATGCTACTTGGAATTGGAAAGATGAAAAGGTTCAGAAAAATGTTTGCATACCAATGCAGCAACCTCAAGAAATTGAAGAAGTCTCAGGTGAGAATTTTTCACCTCCACAACATTCCTCACCAGAGTCTACTCCAAGACGAGTTAGATCTTTGGTGGATATATACGAGACTTGTAAACTAGCCATAACTGAACCCGAGAGTTTTGAAGCAACATCAAAACAAGAAGTATGGGTTAAGACAATGGAAGAAGAGATAAAAATGATTGAAAAAAAATAACACATGGGAGCTAGTAGATTACCCCACAGATAAAAATATCATTGAGGTAAAATGGGTCTATAAAACCAAGTTTAATCCTGATGGCACAATACAAAAGTACAAGACAAGGCTGGTAGCTAAAGGATACTCACAACAACCTGGAGTTGATTACAACGAGACATTTGCTCCAGTTGCACGCCTAGATACTATAAGAACCCTAATTGCTCTTGCTGCACAAAAAGGATGGAATATTTACCAACTAGATGTAAAATCTGCCTTTCTCAATGGCATTCTTCAAGAAAAAAATTATGTGGAGCAATCACAAGGCTTCGTCAACAAAGGTAATGAAGGTAAAGTACTAAGACTGAAAAAAGCTTTATATGGATTAAAGCAAGCTCCACGAGCATGGTACAGCAAAATTGATCAATACTTTGCAGACCAAGGATTCAGGAGGAGCAAATGTGAAGCAAGTTTATACACCAAGATCTAAGGTCAGTATGACATGCTCATTGTCTCCTTGTATGTAGATGATCTTATCTGCACAGGAAACAATGTGGAGATAATAGATAAGTTCAAAGAAGAAATGATAAAGACCTTCGAAATAACCGACCTTGACTTAATGAACTACTTCATCAGAATAGAGGTAAAACAAAAGAAAGAAAGAATATTTATCTCACAGAAGAAATACGTTGAAGCATTACTCAAGAAATTCAAGATGGATGGATGTAAGACTGTTGGCACTCCATTGGTGACAAATGAGAAATTGAAGAAAAATGATGGTGCACTGAAAGTTGATGCATCACGTTACAGAAGTTTGATTGGAAGCTTACTATATCTCACAGCCACACGACCAGACATAATGTATGCTGTAAGTCTTCTTTCAATATTCATGCAAAGTCCAAGCCAAATTCACTTTGGAACAGCAAAAAGAATCCTAAGATATCTACAAGGCACAAAGGAGTATGGTATATGGTACCAAACTATGAGCAATTCAAAGCTACTTGGCTACGTTGACAGTGACTGGGCAGGATTGATCGACGACATGAAAAGCACATCTGGTTATGCCTTTTCACTAGGATCAGGAATAATCTCATGGGCTTCAAAGAAGCAAGCAACAGTTGCACAATCAACAGCAGAAGCAGAATATGTGGCAGTTGCTGAAACTACAATTCAAGCAATATGGTTACAAAGAATACTTGAAGAAATGAGAGAAAAACAAAATGAGCCTATTACAATCTACTGCGACAACAAATCAGCTATAGTAATAACAAAGAATCCAGTGCATCATAGTAAAACAAAACACATAGCAATCAAATATCACTTTATCAGGGAAGGAGAATGAACTAAAGAAATCAAGCTCGAGTATTGCAGAACTGAAAATCAAGTTGCAGACATTTTTACTAAAGCACTAGTAAGACCAAAATTTGAATAGTTACACACGAAGCTTGGAGTTACAAAAATTTGCATCAAAGATGAGTATTAGAAATTAATACAAATTTCTAGAATAGTCTAGAAAAATATTAGAAAAAATTTAGAAAAAACTATTTAGATCTTCTATTTTGTATATACTTCTAGAGAATGTTCTAGAACATTGTAAATCTTCAAATTTTAAGATACTTCTAGAAGAAAGTTCTAGAATATTGGATCACTCAAACTTAATGTAAGAGGATGTCTATAAATAGGCAAGTCATCCCATTGTAAATGATATGAAGAAGAAGTAATCAAGACATCAATTCTCCATCTCTTGAGTCTCTTACTAAAACTTCTTCAACTATCATTTTTAACTATTTCTACTAACATTTCAACTATCTTACTCATCTCACTTACACAAAAAACTATCACTTCTTCAATAGATTTTCGAATAATCGTATCACAACAATTCAAATTGTTCTCATTCCGAAGGTTGATCACTTCCACCAAAGAATTAAAGATTTTCGTCCCATGAGCCTTTGCAATATTACCTTCAAAATCATTTCAACGGTTCTAGTTCATAAACTTTGAACTTTCTTGAATGATCTTGTAAGTCCTCATCATTCTTCCTAATAGGACTTTTGGGAGAATGTCATTGTTACTCAAAAGATGGTTCATCACATGCATAAATTCAAAGCTTAATTTCTTCGTTATCTGGTGTTTAAGGACTTTGTCTCTCTCTATTTTTTTTACATTTTTAATATTTAATAAAATTTAACTAAAAATTATAAAAATGTTAATTTAAGTGAAAAAAAAAAAGAACTAACTAATTTTTAAAATTTTTGATAAATTTTAAGGTGTTGCTAATAAGCCTCAAGGTAATGTCTGGGTGTCGCTTTTGTAACAGAGTATTACTGTTGGCAGTCCATAAACTTCATACTCTTCAATTAGCATTGGATTCGCATCATGTAATTTAACAACCGTTAATCTGTATCTGTATTCCTGTAATTTAATCATGTAAGAGAATCCTTAAGAACCCAAACAAATTCTAAGAACATAACCTCTGCAATTCAAATCTTGTAGCGCTACTGTCCCCGCGTTGAGCAGCAATTACCGAAAGCTTTGTTAAGTTAAAGTTTTAAACTAGAAAACAAGAAAAAAGAAATCTGAATGATTCGATTTCGAAAGCAGGAACAGGAGAGAAAGAGCTAGAGTAGTAAACGTATACCATTATATTATCGACAAAGTGAAAAAAAGAAGGTGAAGACAGTTATTGTGGAATAACTTCAAAAAGTTATTGTGATCATAAATTAGCAAACTCTTTAATACCATGGACATGTCATGAAGTAAATATGAGAGCAGTTGTACATATTCTAAGAGTCTAATATTGTTATCCAATTATAGTTATCTTAAAATTAGCATCTGACTTGGATCTAAATTCAAAGAACTCTTATTGACTACCTACATTTTTGCTGATCCAAACGATATGTACAGTCTGTATTAATCAAAGGTCCACCCAAAAAAAGGCATGAAAGACAAACATAGCAAAAAGGTAGCAATTCAAACTTATTTTTAGTGGCCATTTTTCAAGACATGAATAACAACTCCCCCTATAAAATCACCATTTTTTTTTTCAAACAGTGACAAGGGAAGAAGCATAAGGAGGAGGTGGGGAGTAAGGAGCTTGTAAATAGGGTTGTTTGTAAATATTTTATTGTAAATATTTAATCAAATTTAAGTATTTATCAACCTTATTTCAGTTCATAAATTTGTAAATATTTAGATTGTAAGATGGCAGGTGGAGCTTTTGTAAATACAGGAAAAACAAAACAATTTGATGGCAAGGTTACAACATTTGTGTTGGTTACATGCTTTGTGGCAGCCATGGGAGGCCTTCTCTTTGGTTATGATCTTGGAATAACAGGAGGAGTGACTTCCATGGAACCATTCTTAATAAAATTCTTCCCTGGTGTTTATAAGCAAATGAAAGATGATACCGGTCATCATAGTCAATATTGCAAATTTGACAATCAGCTACTTACTTTATTCACCTCTTCCTTATATTTAGCCGCATTAGTAGCTTCTTTCTTTGCTTCCACAACCACAAGATTGATGGGGCGCAAAATTTCAATGTTTTCAGGAGGCTTATTTTTTCTTGTTGGTGCAGTATTAAATGGTCTTGCTGTAAATATCGAGATGCTTATCATTGGTCGTATATTACTTGGTATCGGCGTGGGATATTGTAATCAGGTAAATACTAGAATCATTGTTAATGCTTTCAAGATTTACTATATGAATGTAGAATAATATTCCATGATTAATTGCTTTTAATTATTTCTTTTATTCTCAATAGTCTGTACCAGTATATTTGTCTGAAATGGCTCCGGCAAAGATTAGAGGTGCACTCAACATGGGATTTCAAATGATGATCACAATTGGCATCTTAATTGCAAACCTTATTAACTATGGGACTGCCAAACTAGAAAGTGGATGGAGAATTTCTCTGGGTGTTGGTGCTGTTCCTGCAATCATGCTATGTGTTGGATCACTATTCTTAGGTGACACGCCTAATTCCTTGATTGAAAGAGGCCAAAGGGAAGCAGCTAAGAAAATGTTACAAAAAATTCGTGGCATTGATAATGTTGATGAGGAGCTCCAAGACCTCATTGATGCATGTGAGGCAGCTAAACAAGTGGAACACCCATGGAAGAACATTACACAGCCTAAATACAAGCCTCAACTCACTTTTTGCATATGGATTCCATTCTTCCAGCAACTTACTGGCATTAATGTCATTATGTTTTATGCACCCGTTCTCTTCAAAACTTTGGGCTTTGGAGGCGATGCTGCCCTTATGTCTGCAGTTATCACTGGATGTGTTAATGTGGCTGCTACTTTTGTTTCCATATTCACTGTGGATAAGTTTGGAAGAAGACTTTTGTTTCTCGAAGGTGGCATCCAAATGCTTATCTGTCAGGTGAAAACTTCGACTTTAACCAAAACTGTATTTATCTATCTTTGTCATATATATATATACACACACACGAAGACTAATTTAATGGTTTTAATAATTGTTCGTAGGTTGCCGTTGGAGTTATGGTTGCACTGAAATTTGGTGTGACCGGCAATGGCTCTTTTAGCAAAAGTGAAGCTGACCTTCTCTTGTTCTTCATATGTGCATATGTTGGAGCATTTGCATGGTCTTGGGGTCCACTTGGGTGGCTAGTACCCAGTGAAATATGTTCTCTGGAGACTCGATCTGCTGGTCAAGCCATTAATGTTGCCGTAAATATGTTGTTTACCTTTGCTATTGCTCAAGTTTTCCTAACCATGCTTTGTCACTTGAAGTTCGGCCTTTTCCTCTTCTTTGCTGGATTTGTGATCATCATGACTATCTTCATTGCCTTATTCCTGCCAGAGACTAAGAACGTCCCCATTGAAGAAATGAATAAAGTGTGGAAATCACATTGGTTTTGGACAAAGTTTGTTGGTGATGTTAATAATGATCAGAAGATCAATGATGTTTAAAGTTGAATATTAAATGTGTATCATGTTGATATTCTAAGTTGAATATCGAAAGTATATCATCACATGAAATGAAAGTGAAAAATCAAAGTGATTCAATTATTATTATTATTATAGACATTGTTATTGCATTTTTATTAACTTTAAATTTCATAAACCTTACATCAAAAAAAAAAAATCACACCTAAAAATCCTAATATGCTGTGCCTATTTTCACATATTTGTGTAAAGGAAGAATAGATAAAGAATATTTTTTTCTCATTCTTTCCAGCCACACTAGTACATTAATGTAAGGATTTGGTAGAATTTAGGAGCATTTAAAACATTATTGTTAGTTCGTTGACTTAATTTGTTAACCCAATTGATTATTTTACAAAGGTTTCAATTATAATTATGCAAAGTAAAACTAATTATTTTGCTTATTATAACTAATTCTTAAAGTAAATTAAAAAATATAAATAAAAATAACGATAGATAGAATTAATCATTTAAAATGACTAGTAAATATTTTATACACCGCAACAATATTTAAAGTTCAAGCAAGTTATAAGAAAAATAAGTAAATTAAAAGAAAGGTACTCCAAAGAAATTTTTTTAACTTATCTAAAAGAATAACAAAAGGGATTAAGAATGATATTTTCTATAATTTATCTAACTACTATTTTGTCTTGTTAAATATTATTTTATTGTTTTTTTTTTTACAGTTACCTGAGTTTTTGTTTTTAATTAATATTATATTATTTAAAAGAAATTATATATATAAGATTTAATTTTTTAATAGCCCGTAAAAAGTATGGGTATTATGACAAATTACAAAAATGTCAAATAATGTCGTGAAGGCAATATGCTGTGAAATGTGGAGGAACTTAGAATATATGTATATATATATATATATATATATATTTTTTTTTTTTTATTGTAACAATACTCTATATTTATTTTTGTTATAAATATTACACGCATGAATTCATAAATTATTTATTCGTATAATAATAAATATATAATTTCACCACGTTCAGAAATAAATAACTTCTTTCAAAATAATTATGCTCGCCTAACTCGAAGCTTAAAATTGACATGACAAATATTCGCAAGATGTAAAACTCATAATAAATCAACATGAAAAATTGCTCACGAGAATGATGAAGCAAAAAATTCTATTATTTTTCCATTCTCTTCTACTTTAACTTTTATTTTAGATTTTGTCTCTTTATCTTTTTTTAATACAAAATTTATATCAATTTGATTTGCTTATGCAACGTTTCTAAATTTTAAGTTTTTATACCAATTTTTTTTTATTTAAGGTAAGTTTTTATTTTTTTTTCCATAGCTAATATTTCATGCTCTGCATTTTTTTGAAGGTATATAATTTTTTTACAATTCTTTGCAGGATAATTTTTCTTCAAATTATTATGTTTACCCGTTTTCAATAATAGTATTAGTGTTAATAATATCAAGAGAATATATGTCAATAATATACTCTGTAATACATTTTTTAAACACTCTTTAATATATTTTTTTAACACAATTTTAACTAAAATATAATAAATATCGTAAAACATTATGTAATTTTTTTAATTTAATAATATTTTTTCATAATTTTATTAAAGAACTAAGAATTCATCCTTGAAAAACAAGAGAGAGAGAGAGAGAGAGAGAGGGGGAAAGAAAGGGAGAAAACCTTCAGCAAAATCTTGCTTTAAATCATGCAGTATTTGCAGCTTCAGAAATGATATAGATTATACAAATGACTAAAAGTGTACAAACCTGTTTTTCAACAGAGAAATAGATCTGCTTCTGTATCGCACGTTTTGCAGAACAGGTGAGAATTTTGAGAAATATATATATATAATGGCTATGGAACTGATATGGATTCCAATAAAGCATCAAGATACTCTTTAAGTTTCGCTTTTGTAATTGCACCTTCCCTTCTGCTTTCAGGAACTTCTTCCCCGTTCTTGAAGAGTATCAATGTTGGCAATCCATAAACTTTATACTCTTCGATTAGCCGTGGATTCGCATCATGATCAATCTTAACAACCGCTAATCTCTCTTTATATTCCTGTAATTAAATCATATCACAAAAATTATTAAGAACCTCAACAGCTTCTAAGAGCACAATCTTTTATCAAATTCAACCTTCTAACGTTACTGTCACCGCATTGAGCAGCAATTACCAAAAGCTTTGTTAAATTAAAGTATTAAACTGTCAACATGTAAGAAAAACGAAATCTGAATGATTCGAATTTCGAAAGCAGGAACAGGAGAGAAAGAATTGAAACCTGAGCGAGGGATTCCATAGCGGGAGATATGAGACGGCAAGGACCGCACCAGTTAGCCACGAACTCAACAAGAACCGGACGGTTAGCCTTCAAGACCGTTTCTTGGAACTGGCTCTCATTGATCTCCGTAACCGCACCGCAAGTCACTGAAAATCGAGGAACCGCAGAAGAATAATTGCGGAAGCGGACAAGAACGGCGCTTCTTGTTCTTCTTTGAACCTGAGAAGGAGGAGGAGAGGAGAAGCTCTTTCTGGCCCACCAGTGTTGAGTGAGGGGAACCGTACGCAGCGGAACCTGAGGGAGAGGGAGTGACAATCTCGCCGTCACTGTGTCCATCTGTTCTGTTCTCAACGATTAACGAAACGAAACCCAATCGCAATTGGAATTGGAAAATGGGCGTTGCCCAAATATATAACTTCGCTAATTTGTGGCCACATATACACGAATAATTTCGTGACGTCATTTCAAGGCAATTCACGATTCAATTACGACTTCTTATCTTCGTTTTTGTCATATTCTTAATCCCTTTTGTTTCCGCAATTCACATGCTAATTACAATTATAATAATCCTAATATTAGCAAATCAGTCAATAATGTAATATCTACATCTTTTCGCACTTTCATTTTACATTTTTGTTTTATGATTTTTTCTCCTTATAAGTTAGAAAATCTCTTCTTTTTTTATAAACTCAGCATATCACTCGAGCATGTTTATTGTTGTTGATGTTGTGGGTTGATTCCAATTTGTTATATGGATTTTTTTTTGGGTGGTAATCAAATTTTTTAGCTTTTACTCAACAATTTATATTAAAGATCTCAATGTTTTAAAATAATATATTGTCACTTATTATTGGATGTTCCCAATACCTTAGTTTGAGTGTCTGCCTGCACAAATTTCACTCATATTATTCTTGTAATTAATTACTTAACATAATTTAATTAAATATTTTTTTTATAATATTTTATAATCAGAAAATGCAATGATATCTTTAAATAAAGTGTAGCTAATAACAAGTGACTCAGAGTATTTTGGTAGTAATAGGATATAGGATAGATATTAGAGGAAATTAGCATTTTTCAAAATGCAAGTATAGAGATATATATTAGAGTACTCTGTACAAACTAACAAAAAAAACCTTTATATAGACAATACACCTCAGAAGGAAGTTGTTTTCACAATGCATAGTAGTTTTAGCCCTTATACTTTAAATAGATTATATTGTTAGTTAATAGTCAAAATGTTTATCCTTTAGGAAAACATGTCTACGTAGGTCACGAGATATCTAAGAATTGTCTCTTATCTCAAATCTATACAAGATATCCGATGTATAGATATGCATTGACATCACATTAAAGAAATATAACTCTCAAGTTAGGATAATAATAGTGAGATATAACTAAAATAAGTTTTAAAAAAGTATTATATTGTCAAAAAGGTTGTCTCATTGTTATAGAACTATTTGCTCTGTTTGATATTTTATTATTAGTAATTACTGACACTATAAAAGGAATTATTATTTACAATTTGATACGTAGACAAAGAAAAAGAAAACTAAAACAAATAAGACGACATAGCTAAGATAAAATATTTTGAACGATGGCTGGTGGAACTTTTGTTACTTCTGCAAATGGAAGGCAACATGAGGGCAAAGTTACAGTATTCGTATTAGTTACATGTTTTGTAGCGGCTATGGGTGGTTTACTTTTTGGTTATGATCTTGGAATAACAGGAGGAGTGACTTCCATGGAACCATTCTTAATAAAATTCTTCCCTGGTGTTTATAAGCAAATGAAAGATGATACCGGTCATCATAGTCAATATTGCAAATTTGACAATCAGCTACTTACTTTATTCACCTCTTCCTTATATTTAGCCGCATTAGTAGCTTCTTTCTTTGCTTCCACAACCACAAGATTGATGGGGCGCAAAATTTCAATGTTTTCAGGAGGCTTATTTTTTCTTGTTGGTGCAGTATTAAATGGTCTTGCTGTAAATATCGAGATGCTTATCATTGGTCGTATATTACTTGGTATCGGCGTGGGATATTGTAATCAGGTAAATACTAGAATCATTGTTAATGCTTTCAAGATTTACTATATGAATGTAGAATAATATTCCATGATTAATTGCTTTTAATTATTTCTTTTATTCTCAATAGTCTGTACCAGTATATTTGTCTGAAATGGCTCCGGCAAAGATTAGAGGTGCACTCAACATGGGATTTCAAATGATGATCACAATTGGCATCTTAATTGCAAACCTTATTAACTATGGGACTGCCAAACTAGAAAGTGGATGGAGAATTTCTCTGGGTGTTGGTGCTGTTCCTGCAATCATGCTATGTGTTGGATCACTATTCTTAGGTGACACGCCTAATTCCTTGATTGAAAGAGGCCAAAGGGAAGCAGCTAAGAAAATGTTACAAAAAATTCGTGGCATTGATAATGTTGATGAGGAGTTCCAAGACCTCATTGATGCATGTGAGGCAGCTAAACAAGTGGAACACCCATGGAAGAACATTACACAGCCTAAATACAAGCCTCAACTCACTTTTTGCATATGGATTCCATTCTTCCAGCAACTTACTGGCATTAATGTCATTATGTTTTATGCACCCGTTCTCTTCAAAACTTTGGGCTTTGGAGGTGATGCTGCCCTTATGTCTGCAGTTATCACTGGATGTGTTAATGTGGCTGCTACTTTTGTTTCCATATTCACTGTGGATAAGTTTGGAAGAAGACTTTTGTTTCTCGAAGGTGGCATCCAAATGCTTATTTGTCAGGTGAAAACTTCGACTTTAACTAAAACTGTATTTATCTATCTTTGTCATATATATATATATATATACACACACGAAGACTAATTTAATGGTTTTAATAATTGTTCGTAGGTTGCCGTTGGAGTTATGATTGCACTGAAATTTGGTGTGACCGGCAATGGCTCTTTTAGCAAAAGTGAAGCTGACCTTCTCTTGTTCTTCATATGTGCATATGTTGGAGCATTTGCATGGTCTTGGGGTCCACTTGGGTGGCTAGTACCCAGTGAAATATGTTCTCTGGAGACTCGATCTGCTGGTCAAGCCATTAATGTTGCCGTAAATATGTTGTTTACCTTTGCTATTGCTCAAGTTTTCCTAACCATGCTTTGTCACTTGAAGTTCGGCCTTTTCCTCTTCTTTGCTGGATTTGTGATCATCATGACTATTTTCATTGCCTTATTCTTGCCGGAGACTAAGAACGTCCCCATTGAAGAAATGAATAAAGTGTGGAAATCACATTGGTTTTGGGCACAGTTTGTTGGTGATGGTAATAATGATAAGAAGATCAATGATGTTTAAAGTTGAATATTGAATATGTATCATGTTGATCTTCTAAGTTGAATATCGAATGTATATCATCACATGAAATGAAAGTGAAAAATCAAAGTGATTCAATTATTATTATTATTATAGATATTGTAATTAACTTTAAATTTCATAAATCTTGCATTTAGAAAAAAATTTACACCTAAAAATCTTAGTATTTGAAATTTAAAAAGTGTTACATTAATCACTAAACTTAAGCACATTTAATAAATATTGTTGAGTATTTGTGTTTAAAAATTAAAATTTTTTACAAATATAGAAATAAAAAATTAAATTGATATTTTTTAAAATTTAGTAGTATATTTTAATGCTTACTATATCCTAAACTCAAAGTTTTATTATGATATTTAAGAGTATAAACATAATTTTATCAAAATTAGTTTTATTCAATTTTAAATTAAACATAAATTTAAAGACATAAACGTGTTATATGTATAATAATAAAAAGAAAATATATTTTTCTTTTGATATTACAAATTTAACTATAAAATTTATTTATTTTAATAAATTACACAAAAATTATTGGAATAACTTGTGATTAACTCTTGAAGAGGGATCTCAAGTACCATATGAATTATATTGAATTAAGAGAAGCGCCGGTAAAATTACAGCGAAAGGAAGAGAGATTGGGTTGATGTTGTGTCTGATGGCATTGCCGAGCCAGAGATCCAAACTCAAACTCTCTGTTCTTTGCTCTGTTTTGTCGAAATTGCCTTATTCCACAATAACACGTTGTCTTTCTCATTCTCATTCTGATGATTCCACAATAGCCGTGGTGGATACCCTCATCTCCATCTTCACCAAACATCCCAACGGCAACACCACCGAACTGAACCGTTTCGCACCAATTCTCACTCCTCATCTCGTTGAGTCCGTTCTCACGCGCCTCCGCAGTTGGAAACTCGCCCACTCGTTCTTCCACTGGGCTTCACATCAACACCACCATGGCTATCGCCACACTTGCTACACCTACAACGCCGTTGCTTCCATCTTCTCGCGTTCCAACCAACCCGTTCCTCTCAAAGCCCTTGCCACAGACATCGCTGAATCCACGAGTTGTTCCTTCACCCCTGGCGCGTTGGGATTCTTCATTCGCTGCTTGGCCAGTGTTGGGCTTGTTCAAGAAGCCAACCAGCTGTTTGATGAAATGAGAGAGAAGGGTCTTTGCGTTCCCAATGATTACTGTTACAACTGTTTGTTAGAGGCTATATCCAAGTCTGGTTCCGTTGATTTGATGGAGATGAGGTTGAAAGAAATGAAGGGGTTTGGGTGGGAGGTTGATGAGTTCACGTTGACCCCTGTGATGCTAGTTTATTGCAATGCTCGTAGGTTTGATCAAGCTTTGAGTGTTTATCATGTGATGCAGGAGAAGGGTTGGGTTGATGAACGTATTTACTCTATACTTGTCTTGTCTTTTACCAAGTGGGGTGAGGTGGATAAGGCCTTTAGGTTGGTGGAGAGGATGGAGGAGCGTGGAATGAGACTGAATGAGAAGACTTTTTGTGTTTTGATTCATGGGTTTGTGAAAGAATCTCGTGTTGATAAGGCCCTTCAGTTGTTTGATAAAATGCTTCGGGATGGTTTCACTCCTCATATTTCCTTGTTTGATGTTCTCATTGGAGGACTGTGCAGGAATAAAGACACTGGTAAAGCTTTGAGCTTGCTTTTGGAAATGAAGGAGCTTGGCGTTGTGCCAGATATTGGAATTTTTACCAAGTTGCTATCGTCTCTTTCGGACAGAAGTATGATTGCCAAGTTACTCGAAGAAGTTCCGGAAGAGGAAGGGGATCAAACTCTTGTCTTGATTTACAATGGTGTTTTGACTGGTTATGTTAATGAGGGGTTGATGGATGAAGCCTGTCACCTTCTTCAAATGATGGTTCAAAGTAAATCCGGTGCTAATGCTCAGATGGATACTTTCTTGAAGGTCAAGAGATTGGTTTCTCCGAATACCGCTTCCTTTAGCATTGTGATTGATGGCTTACTGAAAAATGGTCAGTTGGACCTTGCCCTGAGTCTCTTCAATGAAATGAAACAACACGTTGGTAAACCAAATGTTTTGATTTACAACAATCTGATTAATGGTCTCTGCAATTCCAACAGATTGGAGGAAAGCCTTGAGCTCTTGCAAGAGATGAAAGAATCAGGAATTGAACCAACTCATTTCACCTATAACTCAATATATGGATGCCTGTGTAAAAGAAAGGATGTTTCGGGAGCCACCGATATGTTGAAGGAGATGCGTGTTTGTGGGCATGAACCGTGGATAAAAAATTCCACCTTTCTTGTCAAAGAGCTAAGTGATCACGGGAGAGCTGTAGAAGCATGTAAATTTCTCAACACCATGGTCCAACAAGGTTTCCTTCCTGATATAGTTTCCTATTCTGCAGCAATAGGTGGCTTGATCAAGATTCGAGAAGTGGATCGAGCATTGAACTTATTCAAGGATTTGTGTTCACGTGGCCGTTGTCCTGATGTGGTTGCTTTTAACATACTGATGAGAGGGCTATGTAAGGCAAACAGATTCACAGAGGCTGAAGATTTGCTGGATGAGATTGTAGTGAAAGGTCTTTCTCCCTCGGTTGTGACTTACAATCTGCTCATAGATAGTTTGTGCAAAAATGGTTCGGTGGATAAGGCTATGACATTCCTTTTCAAAATGTCTCGAGAAGACAGGGAACCAAATGTCATTACATACACAACTTTGGTAGACGGATTTTGCAGAGTAAAAAGGCCTGATGATGCTCTCTTAGTCTGGAATGAGATGGAAAAAAGAGGTTGTTCTCCCAATCGAATTGCTTTTATGGCACTTATTTATGGTCTTTGCAAATGCTGCAGGCCGAGTGCAGCCCTCCATTACTTACGTGAGATGGAACAGAGAGAAATGAAAGCTGACTCGTTCATTTATATTGCATTGCTAAGTGCTTTTCTATCTGATCTTGATTTGACCTCTGCATTTGAGATTTTTAAGGACATGATTGATTCAGGGTTTTTTCCAGAACCCCATGATAAAAATTACTCCATTGTAATGGACGCAATAGAGAAATTTTCTATGGATCACGGAACATTTTCAGGTATCCAAGTACTAATGGAAGAGGGGAAAATTCCTACACATTGTTTGTGAACTGTTGGAAGTGATAGATTAACAAAATGGAGTTGGACGACACCATTTTTGCCATACTGCTAAAGGAAGTAGATGTTACATGTCAAATTGATGGATTGAGACGACAAATGTGCAGACAAACCCCTCTCCTACACCCTACTGATGATTTGCCTACAAAGAGAACGTGAGCTCTGGAATTTCAAGATACATGCTGCTTGTCAAGTTGGTGGATTGACAAAGAAATCAAGTAAAGGAGAAATTACACCATTGAGATTACGCAACATATCAAAATTTTACGATTTTAAAAAAATAAAAAACTGTATACGTGCGCAATCTCAACGGTCAGCACCACATGATCCCGGGACTCCAAGTGAAGAGGAAAAAGATTCGTATGAACAATTTTTACAGCTATAACGACCCTTTCATAAATTTCCTTTTTTTTATATAGGTGGCATATAGGTTTATAGCCCTGTGCAACCTTGCTTTTCTCAGGAGTTCTTTGGGAGGGAGGCTGTGAAGGGAGAGGGAGGGGAGATTTTTATTTTTATTTTTTCAATTAAGAGAACAATAATTGTGACATTAAATTTATGTTAATACATTGTTTTATTTTTATTTTTAAAAATAAGAATATTTATTAAAAATAATTTTTTTTCTTTTTTCGACAAAGTTAACTCCCAATCTTAAACATATCATAAAATGAAGGGTAAAAAAGGTATGTAAACAAAATGGTACAACTCCAGCACTGTGGTTATAATCTTTTGTCCTTGAGGTAAAAATGTCTTGTCCTCTGGTACGTACTCTTAGATATAAATGAGAAATTTGATAAGTCGTGCTACGATTCTTAAAATTGCACATATATTTGACAGGAATGTCTTCATTCTAATTAGATGATTTGCGCAGAAACAAAACATTAACTGGGAACCTAATGAAGCAATACTTACAAAGCTGGGGAAACTTGTAACAAACCTGCAAATATCGGGTTCAATTATTTTATGAAAATACCTCCAGAAAAAGTGCTATCTCAATCGTGTCATTACAGCCATTGGAGATCTGTATTGCAGCAATCAGAGTCCCCTATCGCCAAAGCTCTGCAACTAAAATACAGTATGCTTCCCCCAAACCCCAAGGATGCAACAATAAAGACAGTGAACCAAGAACTTGTTGCTTCTCTATAAAAGGCTTTTGTTCCCCGTCCAAATTGAAGACAAGGATCATGTCCGTCTTCCCCTTTTTCTTTGATTTGTCCCCCTTTTTCCCCCTTTATATTAATTGATTGAATAACCACTTTAATCTTTAAAAATATTAATCCTCTCACTCGTATTTTAGGGGACAAACAAAAGAAAATTTATAACATTTTTAAAATAAAAAATAAAGGATTTATAAAATCAGAAACTAAAGTGAATAACATTTGCAAATTTAAGACCAAAGTAAGAATTTACTCAATAAATTTCATTTATTTATCATTTAAATTTGCCCACTTCACGTTCCCCACAATCATTCCACAAATGAAATTATAAGGACTCCAATCCACCGGCCCTAATTATGATGATTTTTAAATACTGCTTTGTCTAGGCTAACCCCGCGTTAATAAATAGCATGCCTCAATTTGAAGATGATAGTTCAGAGAAATGGCCACAACAACTGGCCACTTTGACGCCATTCATTCCATTAAAAAAGATACAATCTAGAGAGCTGATTCCGAAAGTTACATGTTACATTTAAAACGAAGGGGGATACAATATGAGCACAGACTATCTCCCCAACATGGCAATGCTACTAAAATAGGGGATATATCTCCCCCAACTTGCACCAATTTTCTTCAATTTGAAGTGAAGAGCAGCTACTAAATCCCCCTACAAGTTGTTCCCAGAAGCAGATACCTCAGTACTGCAAACTGGGCAAATCTGCAAAGAGCCAAGGGTTACACCACAGCTTCTCCAATGCAAATAACTCAAGTCTAGATAAACTAAAATCAAATTTGATCAAAATGACAGTAATTTATGCACTGCTTATATACTATTAAGATATTGTATGTAAAACCTAAACAAGTTGAAAACTAGAGATGTATCATGAAATTTTAGTTAAAAGAGAGCTTCAAGAAATAAAGGGCTAGTATGAAAGATGTGTCCCAGAAAATGAGGTGGAACAATTCATGCTTCAACTCTACCAACTTAAAATGGTATCATACTAGATATGTTCACACTGTAGGCGGCAGTAAACTGGGCCCGTGATTTATTCATATTTCAAGCCAAAAGGGATTTCACAAGAGGGAGCCTCTACCTAACAAATTGAGATGCTGCAGTAGTTATGGTTTCCTGACTACCAGAAATCCTTCATAATTTTTTTCTGATATCCTTGATTTCTATTTCTTTTTAATTACTCTAAATGCCCCCCTTTTTGGAGTAGAGACCGTTCAAGATCTTGTTTTGTAATTCTTAAAACTTTTTTTTTTTTCATTTTCTTATTTCACATCTCAAAGTTTAACTTGTAACTAATTATTTCTTTAAGGCTAACGCTTCCTCCAAAGTTAAGCTAATGACAAAATGAACATAACAATTTCTGTCAAAATGCAGAGCAGTCTAGAATTTAATTGCTGAATGCACAAATAATATATAATAGATGATATAAATATCTAACGAGTAATGGTGGTGAAATGTCTGCATCACACTGATTTGTTGAAAAATCTCAAAAGGAAATGTCAAACGCACAAGTTTAAAAGATTAGAAAATAAAGAGATGTGAAACATGGGAGTGGGAAACAGATGGGATCAAAGATGGCTGTTATTTATGGCTCTTGAAAATTTTGAAAAAGAAATATTATATAGAAAAATCAAGATTAGAATGGACATGTATGTGACAGTGGCTGTGAAGAAGCTATTAAAATATGCAAATGTATGGTTATATGGTAATTAAATGACATAGCAAGATGGTATTGTTTGGATAGGGAAGGACTGCAAAGCAGAATAATGGTGTATTTGGATAAGCATTTGCAAACATGATTTAGGTAATCATATAAAATTGATTTTGGTTAAAGATGAGTTTGAAATGAAATGATTTTAAAATAAGTAATGTATATGTTGATCAAAATTACTTTTACAACTGTGAGTATCAACAAGGGTATGTAAATACTATATTACTATTAAAGTAATGTTTTGATGTTAAATTACACATGCAACTAGGCTTTTTCCACTGCAGAAGCAACAAAATATTGCTTCCATAAAATATATGGTCTGGAATGCAGAATTAAATCTGTACAATCTTGCCAAACATGTTGACAGGATAAAAAAGGACATTTTGTCCATGAGGTATACAGGTTTTTTATACTTCCAGTGTTTGTTCAAACACTGCATAAATCAAAGGTGCCTTGGAACAGGCCAACAGAAAAATTTAGGCTGAAAGGATTGTAAAAAGAAAAACAAAAAATGAACTGAGCAATCCAAGTTCAAACCGAGGTATTTTTCAATCCCCTTACAAGCAGAACAAGACTAGCAACCACAAAAGAACATCTATACACCCTTTAACTCCCTTGGGATGAGACAATAGACACAAACCATTGTTCAACCAGATGCATAGAAGGACCTTGATTAATGGTCCTATAAAATGGAACTTGCACATGGAAATGGGAACCAATAGTTACATGAAAATTATTTAATTAACCACATTATAAAACCATATCTAAACAATAAAGACAAAAGAACATAAAGTGGAAGATGGGTATAACCATACCTTGTTTATTTTCAACCAATTATTAATGCACTCGGGATGGTACAGATGTTTGCAGGAAAGAACTGTCAATGATTCATCATCTTCATAGTCCACCCGGCAAATTACACACCTGAAACACAGCCACGACATGACAATCAGGCACCACAGTCCATCATATACACAAGCTAAGGTTAGAAGTAACAAAATTTAAACATACGAATCATTGCTTCCATGTTGATCACTCCCACTCTTGTAGTTGACTGAAGGCAAACAGGCAATAGTGTCAATCGAAAGACCTCTGCTCTCAGTTCCAACTACTTCACCCAGCGCCAGCAGTTCCTGAAATAGTTGAAGGTTACTCTTAAAACAAAAGAAAGAATCGGACAGGAAGGATGGGCAGCATGACAAAAACTTGGGTTTAGATAAGTTACCTCATATGAAAGTTCATCTGGATCAACATCCTCCCAAGCATCCTGCAAACTCAGATGATCAAGAAGAAGCATTTATTGAATTAACAGTATTAAATGACCTGCACGTACTGTCCAAAAAATAGTAGCAAACGAATCCAGCCTAATTGATTCTGTGATTACAATGACACATTTTGGTAAACCAGATGAAGTTAAATCAGCCATGGAAAGACTTAAAATGGAAAAATTAAGACAATTGTTGGTCCAAAGATACTAATATACTCTCATACTTTGGATATGACAGGGGGCCAAATGGAGTCATTTGATCTACATGTAGTCAATCCATGGAGTGCGTTAAAGCTAGATTTTATTTTTGTTAGCATTACAAAGAAGAGACTTATATTTTGAAGAAGTCTAAGGCTTTCCACAGAAAATCAGTTAACCTATCCTGATATGGAGAAGCATAAAGAATTGAAAGGAGTATCCAGTCATCTACATTGTAAGGAGTAAATCCTAGCCACCATTTCAGAGGATGCTGCTTTACTTATCTACAAATATGACAACTGAAAAGTGTATGTCACTTGTGGAAAAGAACATTTACTTGTGCAATTGTGCAAGTGCATGCATACCATTTTCACTATTTTGCAATCACACACGCACATACAGAAATTTGGTGCACAATGAAGGCAGTAAACTATCATTTCTTCAACTTTGCCTCATGTGCATAATTACATTGCAGCAATAAATTCATGGAAACTTCTCACAATGTCATGGTCAATTGGCCCTTCAATCCGACCATGCTAAAACCCATAAAACCCAATAAACATGCATATCATATTATAACCCAAATAACAGGCTTCATACATGGAACAATATGAACAGATCTCCGTAATAAATTTAAGTTTGAAAATGTAGCTGGGTCAAAAAAAATCCAGCACCTTCAAAGCTGATTAGGCGCAATTAAATAATTTAAAGGCTTAAGGTGTAAGCACTATGCAACATTGAAAAAAGCAGTTTATGCCAGTTGCACAACTGAGATACAGCAATTTCAGACTCATTTGATTCTAAACCATTGATTCCCTCTTGCTATCACAGTAAACTTCAATGCAAATTTAATCACAATCAAAGTCAACAATTTTAGTTGGAATGATCTCCACTTCCTATCAGTCACTTTGTCTTGATCTTATGAAGTTCTACTGTGCTATCCTCTCTTGGCCTTGCATAGAACAACGATGACATCAAACTCAATAAATGGTTCATCTAATTTCAAACATCAATCTGAAAGGTGAAGTGAATGCAATACATACTGATGAGCATGAGAAGGTTATAGAACCATAAGATAAAAGCTGCAAATGATTGAAATACAAGTTCATGAAAAAGTAAATCAAGTGATAATAAAGAACATCTCAGTTTTCCCATCTTTAACCAAAGCTGAAGCAAAACAGCAAAGATTCGTAGTTTTCATAGACAAGAACAACAACAACAAAGAAGTTGAAGGTAAATGGGGAGGAAATCTCAAAACTGGATATCATGGGTTTGAAGAAGGTTAGTGAAGAATCTTGGGAACACTTTTGACTCAGTAGCTTCAAAAAGTAAGACGATTAATGCATCTAGTATCAAAAATATGCAGGAGAGGATTATCTAATTATTCTAATTCAATGGCCTCATGAACTAGCTTCAGCTCTAATTTTGTGTCTCTGTCTACTTTCAGTATGGAGATGAGCCTGCACAGTCATGGATAAAAATGACAAATCACATGAAACCAATGAACCAGCTTCTGCTAATAATATGGATGATAGTCATAATATAAGGCTCAACTTGGTTTCCTCACAACAGGAACCCATGTACAGAAAAGATAAACTTAGAGGAAGTTGTGTTATTTATATATTTTGAGGCAAAGCCGCAAAAGCTTTGTGCAATCCAAGTAACCAACGCCAGGAAATGAGTAATTTTAGCATGCTTTACCAGGTACCTTTTTGGCATCCAGAGGAAGGAACAAGAAAAAGAAAATACTCTAGAATGACTTAGAATAAATTTATAGATTTTTCATGCCACAGTATCTAAAATATTTAATAAAACATCCTAAATCATAAAACATAAATCTTTCAGTCAAATATTATGTGAGTTATGGCTTATCTGTAACAATTACAATAGATGTAAATAAAATTAAGTAAGCCATGCTTACAAAGTTTCAAAGGAAGTAGAAAATAAGTTACAATAATTTTCAAATAGGACCATACTAGGTCCATAACTAAAGTCAAATATTATCTTAGTTATATCCATGACATTGACATGAGTACGTGTGAGTGAACAAATACAAAGATTAACCCATAATTACTTGTAGATGCAGATAGCCAGATAGACAAAAAATAGAGACATTTACCTGAGAATTCGCACCATGTTCCTCTATGTCCTCCACCTCCCCTGTATTGAAAATGAAAATAGTGGTTCTAACGGGATAATTTTAAAAAATAAAATAAAAATCCACCAATTTACAGTTGTAATCAAGAAAACTTACTATCATTTATCCCAGCAAGAGCCAACAGTCTAGCAGCCATTTCCCTCTCTTCAGCCTCTTGTAATGCTCTTGCATATGCTTCATCACTTGAAAATACATCTGGGTCAAATTCAATGCTGGGATTATCATGTTCTCCAGCACTAGCATGAGCATGGACATCAAATGCATCTTCATTTTCATACTCCTCCTCATTATCATCTTCTTCTTCTTCATCCTCATCCACATCAGTGCCATCATGTAGGTCATCAAAATCGTCCCCATCATCATGCAAATGGCTTCCACCTTCCCAACTTCCATAATCACTTCCATCATTATTCATTCTCAGCACCATATACGCCCTTTCCTGTTCAATAATCAAACAACGGTTTATAAATCAGAAGAATGTGAAAATCAAAACAATAATCAATTTTATCTGTGAACCTTCATTTCTAGAGGATAATAGCATCAATGTTCGTGAAGTTATTGGACTACATCTGTCTGTAACTATACTTGTAGTTCCCTAGGTTTAATGGCATAAATACACACATGGGGAGGCAGGCTGCATAACAAATCAGAACTTTGTGCATCCCATTATTCTACAACATTCATTCCTTATCTTCAATGCTCTTTCTCTCTCTTATATAGACGTCTACATGGTATCAAGATTTACATGGTATCCCAGAGAGTTTGATAAACACTACAAAGACTCTTTCCAAAATACTAGGCGGTTTCTGCATTTGAGGCCCCAATCTTGTGGTGTGAAGTTTGGGTATAATTATGTCTCTTTGAAGAGGAATCAGATTGGGGGAAAGTCACAAGTTTCACACAGCCAAGTTAATGCAGTGACGTTCAGAGATATGCCATGCAAATGAAACATTACGTTTCAATACAATCTCAGTAAAACAAAAATCCTCGACAGTGATATCAACACCTGGAATCTGCATGTCCTTGGGCTGTTATCATTGAATACTAGTCCATGCGAATTGTTGGTTAAGACTATGGGGTTTAACCAAAAATTCTGATGATGAAAATTATTTAGTTTATTCGATATTGGCACAGCACTGGTTCAATTGGAATCACTGAAGCTAGCAGTTCACTTCATTTCCGTTTCATTTAACCAGCAACCACAGACATAAAATAAAAAGAAAAAAGAAAACGAATGATAATAGAAGAGAAGAAAAGGGGAACCTGCTCCTGAAGCGCTCGGGCAAGGGCGAGGTCAGCATCGACCTGGCTGAGATTAGTGAAAGGGGTTCTTGAAGGTTGGCGAGGGTTGGGTGCAGATCCAGTTGGTTCTCCTTCTTCATCAGCTTCTCGATCCTCTTCTTCTTCTTCTTCAATCTCCACATGTTCCGTCATGTGTTCCTCCCCATTCAAATTGGAATGCTCTTCTTCTCGGTTCTGATTGTTCGATTTCACTCCTCCTGAACCCACTTTGCCGGTGGTGTTGTGGTTGTTGGTGGCGGCGGCGCTGGTGTCGTTCTCCATGCCAAGAAGAAGAAACCTAACACAAAGAGAGAGAAAAGGGGCAATTGAAGACGAACAAGAAGAAGAAGAAGAATGAGAAAGATAGATAGATGTACGTATGTTATGATCGAATCCCAGAATCAATCGAAGGGAATATATGTAAATATATTTTTAAATATTAAAAAAATAAATGAATCGTTGTGACGTTAGAAAGAAAGAGCAAAATCGACGAAACGGCAACGAAAATCAAAAAGGAACCTCTCTGTGGGCTCCACCAAGTTCGACGCTCCCATTCAAAGTGACCGTCCATCAACGCGTGTCCCACATAAGATCAACGGCTCTCGCTGCGGATTCCCAGTTACTTTTAACTTGCGGGAAAAGTCATTTCTTTTTCTTTTCTTTTTTTTAACCATAGTCCAGGTTGGTATTCTCAAGTTATTCGTTCAATTTCATTTCAATAATAAATTATAATCTTAATTAAAATTTTGTCATTCATGGGGTCTCCAATTTGATGACCACTTTAAATTTGTCCAATTTATATATTAGTTGGTCAAATTTTTTTCCATATATATAAAGAAGAAATTATTTATATTTCATACCATGTTAAAAGAAATTTAAAGAAGAAATTATTTTCTTATAAACAATCTTAAACTACTTAATTAATATTATCATATTAGCCTTGTCTAGCTAATTCAGTTTACCTTAATTTGTCATAGTTACACTAATTCAGGTGACACCAGGTTTGATACGAATTTATGGTTGAAATTGAGTGAGTGAAGAAGTGCAGCATTGAAACAAGTGAAACATTAAAAATCAAATCACATTCTAAAATAATATATAAACCCTTATGCAAGCAAAAAAAGTAGTACCATTGCATTTTGCGTGAAGGGAAAGCTCCACAAATATCAACACGTCTCTTTTTGTGTGTACGTATTCAAGGTACCTACTTGGAGTTACTAGTGAGCTCTTTAAAGTTTAAAGAATTCATTTTGTGTCATTAGATATATCTGAAATGCGTTTATAAATTAATTTGAATCATATATTTTTATGTTTGTCATTGGTTTTGCATTTTTTACTACTTTAATCATGTTGTATGCTTTATTTTATAATATCATTATTTGATGTTGCACTTATCAGGGTTATTGACTGCCAATTGCTTGATAAAATGAGTGAAAGAAACTTGAACCTTCTTAATAAGAGATATATCATTTGTGCAAGTAAGACAACCAAATTAGGGGCATTGCTGCTATACTGAACATATTAACACTCACTTTATCTGTAATTTTGGGGCTTAAAAGAGTACGAGAAGGACAAGAAAACAAGTTAGAGAGGACAATGCTTTGTGCTGCTTAAGTTGAGTTTTCTATTAAAACAATCAGAGCCTAAAAAAATTTATTCGCTCATTTTTTGGGTGTGTGTAATCCTTTAAATTGAATTGATGTAATCCATATGTAATCCACCTAAGGGCTTCCGTTATGTCTTAATTTGACTTCTTGTCTACATAGCAGCCTCTGTATCATGAACGAGACTAACTTCTTAAATTCAATTCAGAGCTTGAGGACGTACTGATCCCTAACCTTTGCACTGTGTCTCCTAACAGTGTTACCTGGGCTCACCCTTGCAAGGATGATACGTAACACTTGAAGTGTTAGACCTTCAGGCTTTATATATCTGTAAATGTTTGGAGTGCCGTTGTCTTGTAAAATTGCAAATATAAATCAAACTCTACTCAGCCTCCTTGATAAATGCAAATCAATGCTTGAACTGAAGCAACTTCATGCCGTTGTGATCTGTTTCGGCTTATCTCAAGATGACCCATTTATATCCAAAGTTCTTTATTTTTCTGCTCTGTCCAATTCAGGCGACATTGACTATTCCTACAGGGTTTTCTCCCAGCTTTCCAGTCCAACAATTTTTAGCTGGAATACAATCATAAGAGGCTACTCAAATAGCAGAAATCCAACCCATTCTCTATCTATTTTTCTAAATATGCTGCGACTTGGGGTTGCACCTGATTACTTGACATACCCATTTCTTGTGAAAGCATCAGCTCGCCTTTTAAACCTGGAAACTGGTGTATCTGTGCATGCCCACATTGTAAAAACTGGGCATGAATCTGATAGATTTATCCTGAATTCTTTGATTCACATGTATGCTTCTTGTGGGAATATTATGTGGGCTCGTAAGGTATTTGATAGTACGCAGGGAAAAAATTTGGTTTCATGGAATTCCATGCTGGATGGCTATGCTAAGTGTGGAGAAATGATTTTGGCTCAGAAAATTTTTGAATCCATGTTAGAGAAGGATGTTCGGTCATGGAGCTCTTTAATCGATGGCTATGTTAAGGCTGGGGAATACAGCGAAGCAATGGCTATCTTTGAAAAGATGCGAGCTGTTGGGCCCAAGGCCAATGAAGTAACTCTGGTGAGTGTCTTGTGTGCCTGCGCACACCTGGGTGCTCTAGAGAAGGGGAGAATGATGCACAAATACATAGTTGATAATGGATTACCACTGACGTTGGTCTTGCAGACTTCTCTTGTGGACATGTACGCCAAATGTGGGGCAATAGAGGAGGCTTTGCTTGTATTCCATATGGTCTCAAAGAGTCAAACTGATGTCTTGATTTGGAATGCAATGATTGGAGGTCTTGCAACACATGGGCTAGTTGAAGAATCTCTTAAATTGTTAAAGGAAATGCAAATGGTTGGTATCCGTCCTGATGAAGTCACATACTTGTGCTTGTTGGCTGCCTGTGCCCATGGAGGGTTAGTTAAAGCAGCATGGTACTTCTTTGAGAGCCTTGGTAAATGTGGCATGATACCTACAAACGAGCACTGTGCTTGCATGGTAGATGTGCTGGCACGTGCAGGTCAATTAACCACTGCATACCAATTTATTTTTCAAATGCCCATAGAACCAACAGCTTCCATGTTAGGTGCTCTTCTTAATGGGTGTATTAACCATAGAAATTTAGCTCTTGCAGAAATAGTTGGCAGGAAGCTTATTGAGCTAGAACCAAACCATGATGGTAGATATATTGGCTTATCAAATGTTTATGCAGTTGACAAACGCTGGGATGATGCAAGAAGTACAAGAGAAGCTATGGAGAGAAGAGGGGTGAAAAAATCGCCTGGGTTTAGCTTTGTTGAAATATCTGGAGTCCTTCATAGATTTATTGCTCAAGATAAGTCACATCCTGATTCAGAGGAAACTTATTCTATGCTCAATTTTGTTGTCTATCAAATGAAATTTGGCTGTCGCAAAGACAATCAAGAAGGATTGATGAACGATACAACAACAGAAGATGAATTGCTTCTCTTTTGAGTAGATGGTATTGAAGTTTGTAGCAATTGAATTTTTTGGAAGAATAATCAGAATCAGAAGTCCTCTACGAATGAGTGGTTTGTTCAAGTGGTATATGTCTGATTCTTCCTGGCCCAAAGGAGAAAAAAAAACTTGATAACTAACCCGATCATGCTCTGGATATTCTTGACTTGAATAGGATTGCATCTTTATAGAGGATACATATGTTCCTGGCCCAAAGGAGAATCAGAAGTCCCTTTGGTTTATCGGTTCCACAAAATGTATTCGCATTTTAACAGGTTTACAAATCCATGCAATATGTAGATTACAGTCCACTGAAAGTAACCTTGAAATGTAACTGCCATTTGATGAGTGGGAAAAATAATTGCGCGCTCAACTTAGATGTATTGTAGATATATCCTCGGCTAAAATTAACATGATCAGTATTTAGTATGACGTGAATTTATCATTATATTGGAATTGGATATAGCGATTGCAGCACATGATATTATGTGTAGTATTCTACAATTCTTGTCGTCTAAAATAACCTTGCGGTTTAATTGTTGGACTGCGTTATGAATGATTGAAAGTGAACGTCTTTTCTTCATTTCAAATCCCCTTTTATTTAAGTGCGAACAAATAACTTCTTTACTTTAATAGTCCAGATACTGATCAGTGGATGTTATTCCATCTCTCCATATGAAGTTGGAACTCTGGTGCTTCTCATGTACAAATCCATCTAGTACATACATAGATAAAACTTCAAGAATAAGCAGGAAGTGGTTGACGTTTAGGTTAGAGTCTACTATTGATTAGAACAAGTGTCAAATTATTAATCCTCAAGCTGAACTTGTTGGTCTTCTGTGTTGTACAGAAGTCTCAAATCAGCTTATTGCTTCTAATTTTGTATTTCAGAGAACTCGAGTCCCCGAAGATAAGAGGACATGTTTGGATCAAAATTATCCATTCATTTGCGGCATTGCTATGGAAAGTCAACATCTTCATTTGGTTGCGTATCCTTCAGGACATACTGCTCTCCCTCTTTACCTTTTCCCCACAGAAGAATATACATACCGGCAATAACCAAGGAAGATCCTGCAACACTGCTTATTGTAGATAGTGATACATTAGGTGCAATAGATTGTAGATAGGGTGGAAATTATAAAAGAGTTATAAAAGAAATCAACCTTCCCAGGTAAATTTCCTCCTTTAGTAAAGAGAAATCGAGGATAGCCACAAATATCTGTAAAAGGGGGGTAAAAGCTGCGGTAAAAACTGGACCCCTTTGTTTGACACACCATGACATTGCCACATAGCACAAGCCCGATCCAACCAAGCCCTGTGCTCACATAAACAACAAATTCGAATGCTAAGGTTTGATTTGAACAGTTAATCACGATTGCTGAATCTTCTACTTCAAATCCAAATCAATATTTAGATTTGAACTTAATTTGCAAATAAACAGACTATTTCCAAACATTCTAAATGATGTGTGTCATTGTAAAGAATGTACTTACAGTATATATAACACACATTATTTCAAGCTTTCCTTTCAGAATCCACGAGGCATTATTTCTCTTGATGATCAAAGTCAATATTGCTGATTGAATGGCAGCAAAAAGTGACAAAATAGCTGTGCTAGAGTATTGACACGGGTATTTTTTGCTAATCTTTGCTTGTATAATGAACCATGAAGACCACAAGAGGCAGCCTATAGTCAGAATTATTGACCCTATAATCCATTTCTCTAACTTGGCAGATGGAGTTGGGCTTGTAACTTCGTCTGCTATGTGTTGAGAATGTGGGTCGATAAGGGGCATTCCTTTATAAAGGACCAACAACACAGCTCCACCAATGCATACAGTAGTTCCTAAGACTTTGGCCTTACCACTCTTGCTTTGCACGTTCACCTTCTCGATCCTAGAAAATTTTCAAGCCAAAGGATCAACATTATTGTTGTTGTTGTATTACACAACACAAATAATATACTTTTGCTATCTTACCCAAATGGCACAGCCATAATGAACGTAAATACAGGCACCATGTTGAGGAACGCACATGAGAATGTAGCAGACGTATATTCAAGTCCAATAAGAAATAGGTATTGGGGGAGTGTTATTCTGAAAAGCATTAATAAAATATTAAAATCGTAAATTTAGTGGATCAGTACAGAACTAGAAGCGTATCATTGGTTACAATATTACTTACCCTAGAAGAGCACTGAGGAAAAGGAGACATATTATGTGAACCCTCAGTTTGTGTTTCCTGTAAAAAGTAGAAAACTGCTTTGTCTTGTCTTTTGTACAACCTCTAGAATAAAAATTGTGTTAAAACAAAGGGCTTATTTACATGATAGCAACCAGGGGAAGTATATTAGCCAAAGGCATATGTTGGTTTAGGGGGCAAAGAAGAAGAATACAATAAAGACGATAGCAACAATAAAAATCAAGCCTTTCTTACTGACGAGGTCGGTTACATAGATCAAAAGACGTTATAATTAATGAAATCGGTTCTTACCTATCATAGAAGCAAGCAATAGGTGCCATGAAGATAAATGAAATTGTCTGCCTATATGTTACGATGGACATGTAGTCCATTCCTTCATTAAGAACCTTCTTCAGAAGTAAATTGACAAAAGCCAGAGCCAAGTTAACTAGAATCATGATTGAAACTTGTTTGCACAATTCATGGCAATGCATCAACATCTTGAATTTTCTTTTTTAATTTTATGCTTTGTTGTTTTGTTGAGCTTGGGAAGAATGGTGTGGTGTCTGCTATCTTCTCCAATATATAGAGGAATTCCATAGCCTCCCACAGCATGAGAATAAACTTGATGATATATTCCTCATCACATCAAGAATTTCCATTCAACATTCCAGACCCTATTATTTGCTTAATTTTTATTTCTCAAGTTGGAAATTTACTTACAATCTTACTGTACCAATTACTGAGCAACGTGATATTCGTTCATAGTCATTGATTCACCTCAGTCTACGGTAATTGGGAACATATCAGACTAATCACATCAATACTTTGGTGGTCAAACAGCCCTAATTTGCACATATCAGATTCCTTTAACATTCTCTAGCTGGAATTTTCTGCAGCTGAAACTAGTAAACTGAAGTGCTAATGAATTAGATCACGTTTTATTTATCCACATCAATTGACACCAGAATAAGCTTCTGGTCTTTTGAATAAGTATTATGCAACATATGGTACCGTTCTTTGAACCATTAGCTTCTTATCCTAGTGAATATTTGTTTGTATTAGAATTTCTCTAGTGGTTGTAACTGGGAAGCCACATTAGAAAGTAGAGACAGATATGACAATGCCTCCAATTCTTTTGCTAACAGGGAATCTGTTTTTTGATTTGCTTGACACGTTACTTGTTAATTTATTTTGTTTTATTACAAGCAAGAACAAAATGTCAAATCTTGTCAAGAGAGAGAAAATAGTAGAAAGTTGAAGGATGCTGTCTGACTGGAATGCAAATTGCAGACGTGGAAAAAATGGTTCGTCGTTTATGTATTTATGCAGAGTTTTTACTTTTTGCCACCTACACATCTTAGCAACGATTCTGGGGGAGGAAATTAATGGAATGCATTAGGAATGTTTGAGAGTTTGGTTTTAGAAGAAACACGCAAAGAAAGATATTTTTTAATTTTAAAATTAATAGAATTTTATCATGTTTTAAACAATAAAAAGTTTATGCTAATTTTATTTATGTTGAATATTATTAAAATAAAATATCCACCCACACATATATATTAAATTTGAGACTTTATTCTTAATTTTTACAAAGTCGTATTGTATTCTTTCTTCTCATGATGGGACCTGTCGAGGGTTGATACAAGAATTTTCACATGGATCCATTATCAATTTCAATATTATTTTGATCTGGTTACTTTAGTGCATAATCAACTCTGATATTAATTGTTAGGACATCCGAAAAAAAAAACCTTAAAGCATTGGAATTCTTTTATGAAAAAGCTTGAGAGAAAGCAACTCATTTTCACATATCAATTCAATTTCCTCCTAAACAATTTTATTTTACTTATAAAATTTTAATTCATCATTTGACATAAAGTGTTAAACATAGACACTTACATCATTTAATATTTTTTATAAAAGTATAAAATTAATTAATTTAACTATTGAATCATTTTTATATTATTTTCAGAGTCATTTATATCAAACTTCACATAATTTAAGCATTTATAAATATGTTATCTAGAATTTAATATTTATTTATATTTTAAATAATAAAATATTAATTAATTTTATTTGTATATTCAATTTTATAAAATTGATCCACTTAAGAAAAATATTTAAACTAATAGTTATATTTTTGTTTAAATAAGATTTAAGATTTTGAGTGAATAAGGGAAAGATCAAGAAATCAAGAACAAAGAAAGGAAATAAAATAGAGAATTAGACTTAAGAAAATGGAATTGAAGAATTGTTATTATACACACCTACGCAAGAAGATGAAAATAAAGAACATTTGGCAGTATATATCAGATAGTGAAACCATATTTCAGAGTTATTTATTCGTTCTTCCTGATTAGTATCCCATGATCTCAAAGTAGCGGGATAAGGCTCCATTATTAACGACAAACTCTTCCTATGGGCATGACATGGTAGTTTGATGGTCAATCTATCCACATTTTTTCGTTAAGACTTGCATGCCTATAGTACACCCAATTCCTTCAGCGACCATGTGGCCCCTCTTAACCGTAAAGGCTATAGAATAACATCATATATTAAAAGTATTTAATCTAAAATAAGAGTACAAGTCAGGATTATCAGAGTCATTGAACATTCGAACTCTGAAACTCAAGCAAAGGAAAGTACAATACTTAAACAAGCATATAAGTAAATGATACATGGAAATTTAGAATCATCAAGGGGCATAACATTGAGTACTGTGCTGATCTTTATTCATCATCCCCATGGTGGCGCCTCCTCCTCTTTTCTGATTTGTTGACATCCCTACCCTTCCTTGAATCATTATATCCACTTGAATCAGTGTCAGATGATGATGACGCCCTCTTGCTCTTTCGCTTGTGCCGTCTAATGGAATCTTCAGATGATTCAGAATCAGAATCTGATAGACGGCTTCTCCTTCTCCTCTTCTCCTTCCTACTCTTTCTTCGCCTGTGCCTATACTCATCATCTTCATCCGGAGACTTGTCTCTCTTCCTTCTGAGCTCCCTCCTTCTCTTCCTTCTCCTTCTCCTTTCACTTGAATCATCTGAATCACTCACATCCCTCTTAGTACTCCTTTTCTTTGCCCTACCTCTCTTTCTCCTCTTCTTGCCAGAATCATCACCAGACCCACCATCATCCAAATCCCCTTTCTTTCTAGAAGAACCTCCCTTCCCACTGATTTTTTTCCCAGACCGTTCAGCAATAATTTTCTCAATCTCCGAATCAATCTCAGAATCTGAACTCTCACTATCCTCCTCCTCCTCCTCTTCTTCAGAGCTCTCACCATTGCTTCTCCTATCCACCTTCTCAGCCTTCAACTTTTTATCCAATCCTACCAACCCCACAGGCAGCATTGCCTCAGGATCCTTCTCCTCATTTTCATCCTTGATTTTCACATAGTTCTTGCACTGAAACTTGAGGTGCCCAACACGGCCACACTTCTTACAGGCCCCACGGGATACATCCACATCAGCATTTGTTATCTTAGCAAGCTGAAGAAGCCCCTGGAAGCTGGCATATGCATTCTCAGCATCAGGTTCTGCATTGGGCAGATTTTGTGAAGAATCCTTCTTGTCTTCCTTATTGGGTGCATAAGGGTCGTAGCCAATGGCACTTTGCCATATGCCATGGGTTTGAAGGGCTGCACTGCTGTGAACCCTATTGTTCGCAGGCATGCGAACCCTACCTGCTGTAGCCGGCATCTTGAGATTTCAATGGCTATCCCTCACCTGGGAGGAGAAAAAGGAACTTAACAATCAGAAACTGAAACAAAGCAAAAAACAATAAGAAAGCAAAGATGACGTCACTTCCCAATGGAGGAACGAGACCAGTCTCACTCCAACTAACACAAATGCATTTGACTTATGCAAGTAACAAGCAACATATCAATCAGATATTTCACAAAAATTCAAATACAAATCAGCCAAATGGAGCTCAACGCTACTAAATCCATACAAAGATAAATATGCATGCATAATACAAAAACATAATCAGATCAACTAAAACCAAGATAATAGGATTATTTTAAATCAAACATGCATCCAAAACTTATGTGTGTGTCCCAAGTAATATCAGGCATCTATCTATTTTCAGCCAACTACATCTACCTGGACATCAAGCACCAACTATTTCATATTCTCCAAAACAAAGAAGAACATATAAACCAAGAATATATGAACACAGTCACTTACACTAAAATAAATGTGAAAACCAAAATTGTTGTACATTTATCCAGCAAACAAACACAGCATCATAATATTTAAATTATTTTTACACATCAAGTTGATTGATTCCATTTTCCAACAACTAAGCAAAGAAAAATACACAACCATATTAACAAAGAAAGAACTATGTTTCAGTTGTAACAAAAATTTTTAAAAAACTCAAGAAATAACAAAATCAGAAGTACACTACATGAAGTTAAAATTTTCATAGCTTATATTCACAGCTCAAACCATAAGTCTACCACATATATTCTAAGTTAATAACCCTTTTAATTTATCCACTCAATCAATCTCCTTGATTTTTTATTTTTTTATTTCTTTTTGCTCAGATCACTGTTTACTGTAGGCCTTAGCATGGAATATGCACATCCAAAATAACTTTTTCTTTTTTTCAAAAAAATTATCTTCTATGCTCTTCCACAATCTCTAACTAAAACTTACATCTCTAAATGCTGTACAAATTTCGATACCCTCCTTGAGTAGGTGCTTCACGATTTTGGGTTTTTTATAAAATTTTAAGACCAATCTCACAACAACCGTTCCAATAACATTCCAAAACTTCATATCAAAACCATCTCACTTGATTGGATCAAGAAGAGTAACTACTTTTCTAGTTCGAATTTCAAATGATTAGGTCCAGTTTACAACTTCATCCAGCCCAAATTCATATTTAACATAACCATAAAGGCATAAATCACTAGATCTGAATCAGGCTATGATATGTTTCAATACTATGTTCACAATTCTTGGTTCCTCAATAGTCTGCACCGCCTAACAACTTGACACTTCAGATTGTAATACCATTCTGCACACATATTTTCTTCCTAAAAATCTTTCTCCGCACCATTTCTTTTCCTAAAGCAGACAACCTAAACACTTAAATAATATAGTAAACAACAAAGTATGAGCAAAAGCCAATCTAAAAACAAATATCCCCCTCAACCGACGGCAACCCCAAAAAATCATACTTGAAATACCCAAAAATCAAATTCAAACTATCTGATTTGTGCAAACGAACCTAAAATCATGTTCTTAATCTTCTGTCAATAATCGCAGAGAACATAAATGGAATTTCGAAGACAAAGGAAAAGGGTGAAAGCTTAGACACGGATAAAAGAAGAAAAGGAGAAGAATTTGAGTTGGACTCACCAGCTATTGGGCAATATCCAACGTGCGGTTTCGATTAGGGTTGACCTTAAAATTGCGATTTCTTGAACCTCAATTCAATATTTTGCATAGATCGAATTGTATCAAAGAAATAAACGAAATTGAAAGGATTGAGAATTACGTTTTAAATAAACGAATACCTCGGCGGCTTCAAAATTGAAAGCCCCAATTTAGCATGGAGGGATCGATTAGTTACCACTTACCAGAAGATTCTTTTTTTTAAACAAATAAAAAATTATTCTTTTTAGTATTGATCTTTTTAGACCAGGCCCAAATACAATATTTTCAGTTAAACCCATTCGTTTCCAAACGGCCCAATCCAATCTGTTTGTTTGCAAAGATGTCCTTTTTTGGGTGTGGACAGAGGGTGTTGTTTGGGAACGTTATATTCAATAGTAACTATCGTCCCGCTGATAATTTTTACACACCTCTGTTTTGAGATAAATTTTTAAGTGATCTGAGATCATTTGTAGAATCACTAAAATTATATTATGGATCAAGTTTTTCTTCTAATTCTAAAACTTATACACAAAACACTATATAATTGGTTGGAACTACGTGATCTTGATCATAAAATGATTTTTTTTATTTTCATTTTTTACAGCACTTCCTAGTTTTTTATAACTTCTTTTTCAAAAATATCTATTATGAGAATACAAATACTTATTAGGATGCTAACATAAAAATATAAAACAATCATTAAAAAAAATGAATGAAACTACGTAGCAAATACGAAAGGGGAATTGCACAAACAAGAACAAAAGTATTTCAAAAGATGCAAATCATTAACCTGAGGTTGGGTTTAGATGGAAATTTTAAAACTCTAGAAACAAATTATCAAAGCAATAATGATAGATGTGTTTAGAGGGCAGTCAAGTGTAAGAGGAGTTGTGAATGATAAATATAAAAAATTAAGAGAGAATTTAAAATTTATTCTAAAAATAAGTTATTTAAAATTCTTTATAATTAACATAAATTTTTCTAGTTAAAATCAAAATTTTGTAATATTATAAAATTAAATTTCTTACTATCCAAATGCATGAATCATAGGAATTTTAAAATATTCTGCTCAAACACAACCTAAATCACAAACCGAGAAGTGTTCTGCAACTTATATGTAAATGAAGGGAGGCTCGCAAATTCACAGCATATCTAAAAGCTGTATGTAACGGTCTGAAACATTGTTGTGCATTTTCGTTTGATTTAGGAGTAATGATTTGGACATCAATAGGCAAGAGGCAAAAACAATAAACTCTTTGGTTTATAAGGAGAGTATAGGAAAAATAAAACTCAGTAAGAATTATTTATAAGTAAATAATATTATAAGGATACAATTTTGTTAATATATTTTATAGATTTTAAATTCACGTTCTCTCTCTTTTATATCTTCCAATATTAGAGAAAAGATATAATTGAGAGAAAAAAAATAATTGGCCTCCTTTGTTTTTTTCTCTTATTTCCTTCAAAACCTTCAAGATTTGAAGTAAAAAACATATATGGTTCTGTTAATTAGGGCCTAAATACACTGTTTGATCATATATATTTCCTTACTAATGATTACGTGTAATAAAAATGTTTATATATCTTTTATTGTTAGCTAAGATTTATTAGATTTATAAACTTAATCGTTAAATAAAAAGTAAATCTGTGTTTTCTTTCTTACATTATTAATATAAAAAATCTATATATTCTTTACTTTATTAAATTTGGCAGGTCCATATGTAACATTAATTTCAGCATTTAGAAGAATGAGTGAATGAACAACTTCCGATACAGGGAAAGAATTAAGTCTCCATCAATCAAGACAAATGGTACTGTATTTGTACATTTTTCTTGCATTCTCTTTTGCACGGAATATTGCTTGAGGCAAAAACAACAAAAGATTTAACATCAAATCAGCATCATAATGCAACATATATGCATTCAGTCAGAAGTTCAAAAAGTACAATGCTAATATCAGCGTTCGCCAGTAAACATAATTCAGCCTAACAAACAGCACTTAGGTATACAATTAGTGATGATTACATGTTCACCATTACAAGTCATATATGATGATCCAAAAAACTCTAGAGGTTTGGTAGCAAAAACAAACCATGGAATCATTCTTACATCTTACAGACACAGTATATAGACCAAGGATCATCCCACCTGACTCAATTTACACTTCCAATTGGCTTCAAACTGTTACAGATATATTTACTCAGGAACCTTAGTTTCCCCAGACCTGGAATTTGAATAACAATCATCAATTTTTAAGTGACAACCGAATCAGGAGCCTAAAGAGAATAACCAAATGAGCACAGCACAAAAGAGATAATCAAACAGTGCCTTCGGCAACAAAGTGTACAACGTATTCAGCAAATACAAGGATCACAATCCATATCGAAGGGCCTGAATTTTGTAATACTAACCTTGCTGTCTCCAATTTTCTGATCACATCTTGCATGGCATATACTGTCATTTTCTTCACCTGTTTCAAAAGTAGCAGTCAGCTGTAGAAAAAATTACATCAAATTCCCATATGGAACTGTTGACAAGATGACGTAACACAACATCCATAGCAAACCGAGTAAAATAACTCACAACTTGGACTCTTCTAAGTTTCTAATGATAAGCTGTAAAGTCAAGCATAAATATCCATTTCCATTCTCCCAAATGGATCTTCAAGGCCAATTTAATGCTAAAAAGGTCACTGAATTCAAAAGATAAATTTAGTATCAAAAGTTGACATACCAAACATAAAAAATTTATATTTTTTAAGGATCAAAACGGGTTCTAAAAAATTAATAAAGTTTTGTTGGGAAAGTAATGGGCCACTGGTAAGACAGTTTTTTAAGTGGGCATAAGACAGTTTATGCAATTTCAATGGCTATGTATTTATCAAATTCAGTGCTGCTACAGTAAACTTAAAAAATTTAAAATAAGGGCAAGGAAAACAAAAGCAGTCAAACTGGGAAATGGTTGAAAATCTAGGCATCAAAAGTCCAACCAGGATTTAATCTGAATAAGAAAATATTTTGAGTGTGAAGAAATTATTTCATCTCTATTTTTTATTCCAAATGAGTCAAGAAACATTATATAGAAAAGGGGAAGAGAACAAAAATGGAAATAATAAATAGGTTTTCCTAGAATTAACTAGGAATACCAAAATTACAAAAATGAAATGAAAATAGAATAGTTGACTTCAATCCTTCCATTTAATGAGATGATGGGACTCTCCTAAAATTTAGAGATGCTGAGGAATAGCCATTAGTCATTACCAGCCTGCCAACACTAGACACAAAGTCAGATTTCAATAAGACCTTTGCAAGTGCATGTTTCCTACAATTCTGTTGGAACATAGTGTAGGGTAAATGTCCCATTTTCAATTTCAGATTTGAGGAGGTTTTATCAATCCTTACATACTTCATCTTCCATGTTCAATTAGATTGTGAACTATTCTGATGGCTAAGTTGCATCGGCAGAAAAGTTTCATAGATTCTTGAGTTGGAATAGTTAAATCTTCAAGTAACCTATTTATCCATATCAGTTCACCAACACCTTGTGTGATTACCTATATTCTGCCTCTGCACTGCTCCTAGCCACAACAGTGTTTTTTGCTTCTCTGAAATCACCAAATTTCCCCATACCTTTGTACAATATTGAATATCCTGTGGTTCTCTTTGTATCCTAATTGAACCCACCCAATTAATGTCTATATAGCACTCAAAACCTCAGTGTTCATTCTTACTAAATGGTAGGCCCTTTCCAGATGTGCCTTTTAAGTAGCAAAGAATTTGATTTGCAGCATCAAGGTGTCCCTTTCTTGACAAAAGCACAAACAGATTACTACTAGTAACAAGCCTCGAGTATTATTCACTCCCAAGAGCTTTTTTATAAGACGAAGACTACCCAAGTTCTTTAAAATGTATTTTGACTATTTTCTTAACCAATGTAAGACATCATAACACATCCCTCTCCCTCAAACTAGACATCTAGTATATAAAGTTTGCAGGATTGAACACTTGTAAGTGACCCAACAAAAGTCTACTCACCTCCAAAAGTTATCTCATAGGAGGACTACCCAAGTCTTTATAAGGAGGATTTTGACTCTATTTTTAGTCAACATAGAACATCTTAACAACAACAATAACAATGTAGGCAATGTCAGTCTGGTCTAGTAAGAGATAAATAAATCAATTTACTAACAAGACATTGATACCTATTCCAAACTCATGCTATAGAATCTTTTAACTTTGAATACTGCAAATAAATCTTTTTTTTTATCTAGACGATAGGTATCCTACACTTGAGGCAATTTTGTTTGAACCAAGTAGCACAACTATGGGAGGCAAAACTCTTCATCTAAATATTTAACACAACTGCATTTATTAAAACTCAAACTCAAGTAAATGCTTTTCGAAATTGTTAATTACTTAGAGTCTCATTGCCCGTGAGAATCATTTCACCCACATAGACAATAAGAACAACTCTCTTGATTTTCAGATTTCTTAACAAACATGGTGTATTTGCCTAACTTTAAGCACAGCCAAATTGCTTCATAGTGGTACTGAATTTGTGAACCAAGTCCTTGGTGACTGCTTTAGCTCATATAGGGATTAGTTCACTTTACACAGTGTATTATTGCTTTATCCTTCAAATCCTAGAGATAGTTTTATAGTAGCTTCATCTAACATCTGGTCTAAGAAAGCATTATTTATATCTATTTAAAGTAGTCTCAACCCAATTTGGCTAAAAGAGAAATTAAAATTCTAAATCCATTTAGCTTTGCAACCAGGGCAAACATTTCCTCATATTCTATAGCATGAGTTTGGAATAGGTATGGGCGACTAATCATGTCTTGTATCTATTCATTTTTCCATTTGCATTCATCTTTGTAGTAAAGATTCGTTTGCACCCAACAATCTACTTTACTTAAGAAAGTATAACAACTTCCCAAGTTTTGTTTGTACTTAGTGCAGCCATTTCTTATAGGACAACTCTCCCATTTTGATCTTCTAGAGCTTCATAAACAAAGTTAGGAACTTGTACATGCTTCAGTTCAATAACTAAAGCTACATTCCTTGGAGACATGTTAGAATATGAAAGATAACATGGCATAGAATGCTCTGGGCACCTCCTAACTCCTTTCCTTAGAGAAATAGGTAAATAAATATTATCAATCAATGTTGTCAAATGGGAATTTTTGAGCCATTTACCACTTAGTATTTTGCAATTTATTTTACTATCTGCCATTTCAATTTTGCAGCTGCCATTGTGATGGCACCTAAATGGGCTACGGATGCCATGACAATTTTATTTTTTTTTTGTCATTTTTAAAATGCCCCAGGTAAGGTTTTTGAAGCAGTGTTATTAAATAAGCATTATGGCAGCACCATAATGAAAATTGGTGGCATTTTTCATGCTCTTCATTGCAAGTATGGCGTTTTTCAATGACAGTGCCGTGGCAAATGTTACGTGCATGGAAGTGACGATGATAATGGCAATCATGGCAGAAAAATAGTAGTTTTGCCAAAAAAATTGATTTTTTTTTCAGAAAAAAGGAATAGGGACACTGGGCTCGACCCGATCTAGAGAAAGAACATGTAAGCCCAACCCAAATATAACCATTGCCTTTCTTCTTTTGTCTCTCATTTTTCTCTTCTTTAATTTGTGTTCTTTGCTCATAGTTTACCTTCCATCTTTTATTTTTTGTTCTTGTTGGAATTTTGGGTCTTCTTCAACTTCTGTGTTTTTGGAAATTGTTGATGCTGCAACTATGGCAACGATTGCTTCATCTCCAGTGACTGATGATAAAAGCAAAACAAAAACAAATGAGGGAAAGAAGCCACCCCAAACAAGAGATAAAGACGTGCTTGCTACAAAAAGAGACACATAAATGTATATTCTATACATTCGAGAAGGAAGTGTCAAACAAATGTGGAGAAGAAAATGGATTAGTCTGATAAGACTACTATATCCTTTAAAAAAAAACTCCAAAACATGATTATTTTGCGAGTAAAAATGGAAAGCTAATTTTTTTTAAAAGAAAAAAGTCTTCTTTTACCCTTAAAAAATCCTAAAAATGTAGGATAAAAAGTAGACATTTTTACCCACTGTTGCTATGTAGGACAAAAAGTAGACATTTTTACCCACTGTTGCATTGGGGATAAAACTCCTTTACTGCCCCTATTGCACCAGAGACAAAATCAGAAAGAGAGTAGTAGAAAATGATGAATAAAAACAAAAAACACCGTAATAACAAACAATTATTTATTTTGTATTAAATTATATTTTGAACTGTAAGTTAAATTACTTATGTTTCTACCATAATTTTATGGCAATATTTTAAGTTTCTACCATGATACGTCATCTGCCATTGATAACCTTGTTTTGAAGTTCTTTGTTCTTAACCATCATACTTTATATCATTCTTCTCCCTATTGCCTTGTCCTACATGCTGCCACAATTTGAAGTTGGACTACCAATTAGTAAGATTGTGCACTAGTGACCACAACCTTCAATGACTACCATTAAGGTGGATAATTTTTTTGTAATTGCTTTACAAAAATAAATATATTGTTCACGACTAAAAAAAAATCCTTATTAATAGAGAAATTTGCAGATGAGTATTTTGGACTAACCAAAACTAGTATAACCAAGATATTTGTGCCATAAAAAGGCATTTGAATCTAAAAAAGTAAATTAGGAGAGATTTTAATGATGACAAAGTCTTAAGAGATTATTAGAAACATAGTAGATATCACTACGTTCCTTAGCATTGCCAATCATCATCACTGTAGTCAAATCCTAAAATACATAGTAAATGGAATTAATAGTAATTACATAATTGAGATCTTTAGTTAATTTACTAGTAGACATGAGATTATACTTCAATTCAAGTGTATAAAAGAATGAATTCACATTTCAACCTGACACATTAATATAGCCCGTACAAGATACCAATAAAGATTTATCGTCAACATCTATCATGTCCTACACCTTTCACACTTTGTTAGGATGTCAAAAGAAATCAGCATGACTCTGTCATGTAGTATGCGGCACCATAAAGAAGGATTTATTCTTCAATATTTTCATGTTTGAACAATAAAAAAAACTGTCATTTACCTTTGTGAGCAATGTTTATTGTGCAACTTGAATGTCCATGCATTTGCAACATTCATTAAGCAAACTCCTTAACAATTGTGAGAAATGTTTATTGTGCAACTTGAATGTCCATGCATTGCAAACATCCATCAAGCAAATTCCTTAACAATTTCAATTGTTCTTAAAAAATGGTGCAAGAGTGTTTTTGCTATAGTTCAGCAAAGCAAACTACAGGAGCACTTACAAAGGGCTTGCATTGAATTTAAGGCTTCCAACCTATAGGCTTCTCATAGATAAGCCATCATGTATCCTTAGCGTGAGAATGAAGTTTTTGCAACTTTTGGACACTAAGTCCTTCAATGACTGCTGGATTGTTCATGCAAACCTTTGCAAAACACTAAAGCAAAACTCAAGGTATTGTCTTCAATGGCTGGACCACCATCAAGCATCACATATCTTTGACTTTCTTTCCTTTAAACCATTGCAAAGGCTTCTCTAAGAATTTGCAAATGTTTAAAGCCAAGGAATCAGCCCCAAATGTCATCTAATTCTTTCCCAAGTCCCTGAAAAAATAAAAATAAAAAACTTTCCTTTTCTAAAATATGATCTACAATGTGGAATAAATCCATCTCTAACCACAATTCCACCAACATATTAAATTTGTGACAATGTCAAGCAATGGCCAAAATTTTGGAATCCATTGAATTGATCAAAGAAACCAAGATGATGCAAAATATTAAGAATAAAGATTTTTCTCCTAAAACACAAGTTCATTGTCTCTTTCTCATTATTAGTAATTCCATCTCAATGACCAACTTTTTTTATAATTACTTTATTTATCTCATGGGCCAACTTTTTTTATCCCAACAACACTGATTAAAATAAATGTCTTGCATTATTTAATGACTAAACAACCAAATTAGTTTCTAAGATAATAAGTGACAAGCATATCATTCCCTAACTATTTAAAATTGCCTCATTAATCCCTTGGATTGCAGTCCATGAAGTAGTTAGGTCTCCAATGTTAACGTACAAGCAAGAAATGTTAATTTTTACTAACATGTGTGATGCAAAGATGCCTCAATTACAATAGTGTTGTCGCCTCCAACCCCTAATCCAACTATGCCACTGCCATAGAGGAGCACCAAATTAGCAATGCCACTGCAACCATCAACCAAGATGGCAACATCAACATTCAGAGTAACCCAACATGATGATATGAAAGAAAGAGTCAGACACAAAAGCATAACAAATGAAGAGAGGCTAGAGGATGGGGTTGGTGTACCTTGAGGTTGATGAGGCATAGAGAGGTGTTTTAGCCACATTTGAGGTCAATTCAGGTTAAAAAGTGAGTCACCAAACCCTCTCTTCTCACTTTATAATTCTCAATTAGGATTTCAATTTCACTTGACAAAACTTATTTTCTAGAAAAAAGAGAATAAGGATGGGAGAAACAAGAAGAGGAGCAATAAAAGTGACAAAGAAAGGGTTTACAAAAGAAGAAAGCGATATTAGAGATAAGCAAGAGAGACAAGAAGGATGGAGAAAAGGGGAAGGGAAATAGTGGGGAAAGAAGCAAAAGTTGGAGAAAAGTGTTGATGCAGTGATCTTGTTGAAAGAAACTCGAAGAAAAAGAACAAGTTGCAATCTTTTTTATGTTGCCATCATTGTCAAAGTCACATGTCACTAAAAGTGACATGATGACAAAATTCAGCGTTTCTCACATGTTCATCGACATTAGAAACCTAACTTGCCTAACATATTATAGTCCAAAAGACTAACAAGACAATTTTAAAATGTAAAAAATTGATATGTTCAACACTAACTATCTGAAAGACTAATTTGCAAGTATACTCCTTTTTTAATATTATAAATATTGAAAAAATAAAAGTCACCAAAATATCGACTATCATAAGCTACTTAACTACAAAAGGATTTTATCATCAATAGAAGAAGAAATATCAAACAAAATAACAAGAATTTAAGGAGAAATATTTGACCATGAAAAGCACAAGGAAAATCAATGTTTGATTTTGGTTCGAACCATTTAACCCATCTGAATTCTCCCTCCCATCATCATCACTCTCTAAAATAACCACTATTTCCTGTTTTTTCAGTGCATTTATAGAATGGTCCAAATGGATGGCCACATAGAAGACCTTCATCCCTCCTAGCATACTCCTAACAAAATAAATCCCTACCATCACAGTTTGCACAATGAATTTTGTGAATTACTAACAACAAAACCAGCACTTGTTCATGTCAAATTTCTGCTTAGTTTCATACTTTGAGTAAAAACAAAACACTATTATCAGGCTTGATTAAGATCCAACTTCACTAGGTTATACACAAAACCAATCAAGCAATTAGTTTTAGACCCAATGTTCTCATATGTGAAATTGTCTCCCTTGTGTCAATTTGTAACTGCTCCACTTGTAACACACCACACCAAATAGTCTTAGTTGAGAATACTTTTTTTTTTGCACCACGTTATCATAAATAAATAGCTCTATTGTGTATTTTAAACACATGAATTCATTCTATACCTTCTTGTTTCTCTCTTTCTCAACATAAAAACTTTGAATCCCCATCCTCAAGGCTCAATGATTGAGCTTAGAAATACCCTTTGATCATGTGGTTGACTAGTTCTACCATTGTTAGAACCTCTTGCAAAATACCTCCATTAATATTTTTCTTTTCTTAGTCAAATCCTATAACAATGGTAGAATGATATCCAACCTGTCAACTCTTTTTCAATTCTCCAAAATCTCTAAATATTATGGACAACATTACCATTTAATCTTTATGGTGAGAATTGAATCTCCACATCTCTCAACATTCTTCTCTACATGCTTCTCCAATCTCCATTCTAAGTACATTCTCCTCAATGGCATCTGGTAGGTCAAACGAAATTGTTGACAAAGAAATCAACATACTGCATTCTAAATAAGTTATAGAAATTATCTTTTTTTAGCCTAAATTTGAGTATAGACATTAAAAAATACAGGATTTACCCTTAATAAGGAGTTTCCTCTATCAAAACACCAAAATGAATAAAATGACACCCTAATTCCCTCATTCAGGTTTATCAAACCTTGCAACACTATTATAAGGAGACTCCTCCATCAAAAGACCAAAATGATTAAAATGACACCATAATTCCCTCCTTCAGGTTTATCAAACCTTGCAATGCTATTATAAGTGTCAGCATCAAACCAATTAAAGCAATAAAGAAAAATGAAACTACCCTGTATAGTACTTGGTAGGCCTATCAGAAACTACCAAAAAAGTAGGAGATGCTATATCTCAAAACAATAAAGAAGCTTATAAATGCCAGCACCAAACCAACAAAAGCAGTTAAGCTGCAGCATACCTCAAGTTTGTCCTCAATAGACTTGTGATTTATTGGAAGTGTGCGAAACTCCTCAGTCAAATGGAAGCACTCACCAATATTTTCAGGAGAGACAAAATCCAATGCAACCTTAATGCATGACTGCAAAAACAAAGACAAATCATGGACACATTATATGGAGAACAATAAATCATTACATATATATATAAAAAAAATAAAGCCACAAAATGTTGGCTAACAGTCAGAGATTTGAGGAGTTTATAAGTGTTTGAAATCTCTAATTGACAAGTGTTATGGCTAAAATGGAGCTTATAAAGACTTAAGCAATCCTCCTCTTATCAACAAAATTTTAAAGTTGAATTAGGCTCAACCTAAATTTAAAATATTATCAAAATCTATCTTCAATCTAATATTAGGCCACCATTAACTGCCAAAAAATAAACTTGGCCCCCATGAATTTTCCAATGCAATGAACATATCCCCATGAATTTCCCAATGTAACATATCTGACCCAACAGCTTTCTCAAGGCAATATAAAAAAAATTAAAAAAAATTAAAAAATCAGTCCTACAATGTACATACTATAGATGTCTATTTCTGGTCATGAGGAAGGTTTGACATCCCCCAACAACTACAAATATAAGCACGAGACCACAAACTTAAATGCATCGTGTTCACTTGGCATGCTGAAGGCAAAGTACTCAGCACTTATACACTTCTAGGCAAACAAGGAAACATCATACCTACATTTATAGCAGTCAATAACGGCCACTATCATGATGAAGTGGAGAGAAGCAGCTCCCTACTGCTATTCCAAGTGCATAGCATAGTGGCTTTGGGTAGCGGCTGGAACATCACCAATTGCAGCCAAAATCACGGAAAATTGTGGCTACTATGCGATGCACGACAGAAATATTAAATTTACCCTTATTTTCTTAAAGTTAGAAAACTTTTAAGGAAAATATTAGGATTTTGCTCCCCTTTACATTGTCAATTGCTACATGTCATTGTATCTTTCAAACTCAATACTCTTCAACCATAAGTGCTCCCATTCACCATCTTTGGCAACTACTGCTTGGTTGAAAAAGCTTCATAGTGGCCAACGTCATTTTTCGGCCAAGTTCTAGTCATCTTTATCTCCAGCAAGACTTACTCATTTTTTACGAGACCCATTCGCATTAAGGGCTACTTCCAACTAAAATCTGATTTTGTTCATTATATCTAACCAAGTACTAGTAATCTTCTTCATTTCCAGCAAGACCCACACATTTTCTCACCAGATCAGTGTTGGAGACTTTTGCTGGTGAAACCACTCTTATTTGTTTTATTTTTCTTCTTTCTTCTGTTCTGACTTCTAAGAACCCCTCCCAAACGATTGAAGTTTGAAATCTTCAGCATATCTATGTGTAGCATAATATATATTTTATGTATTTTAAATAATTAACAGAATGGCAGTCATCCCACTACTTGGCTACATCATTTTTTAAGTTGGCCACTTCGCGCCACTATCCAAAATTGACTATATGCCTCCAATAAATATGAAACAAATTTCCCACATACATCGATCCTACCTTCAGATTTCTGACCTGGTGAGGACAACCCGCTGGAATAAAAACAGCATCCCCAAGCTTTTGAATGAAAGTCCAAGGCTCAATTCCTGTAAGAAAACACTTAATTGTCAATACAAAGATACAATTTTGAACCCCTCCCCAAAATAAAAATATCAAAATCTGTAAGCATTACTAACCATACTCCTTTTTAAGCTTCCTCTTATGCTCCATAGTCAGATAGAAGGTCTGGTCATGGATGGGATGAATAACCTACATTACCAAAGGATATGGCCATTCAAAAAGAAAATATTCATACCTAATAAATGAGGGACTAAATTCACAGATTACACACCCACACCTGTTTTAAAGGACAGCAATGGACATGCCTAAACTCTCTGAAATGCTTCTTCAGATATTCTTGCAATTTAGGTACATCCTGTCTCCGAAAAATATCCCAGAGAGCACCTTCTGAAACATCCCTCCCAACCAACAAATTTTCTTGTTTTATATTCACTTCGTCAACCTCTTTGAGCTTTGACCCACATGAAAGACCATCCGCATTAGCAACAGTATTTATGGTTGAAAATGCATTATTACTACTCTCAGAGGGTTGATGAAACCGATCAACTAATTTCACATCCCAATATCCACTTTTATGTTCTGTAACTTGAACATTATCTTGCTTGTCCAAAGCATTTATGGTAGGAGATGAATTATTAAGCATCTCAACATTAGTTTCTCCATTGTGATCACCTCTAAGTAGCTCATGTTGGTCTTGCTCAAAGTGCTTTTGTTTCAACTTTTCAATGGCAGTAATTTGCTCAGACTCCAACTTCACTTCAGCAATATGAGTCAAAACATTTACCTATAATAGCCAAATTATTAAAAAAAAAAATAGATTTTTCAATTTCATCATTAATCATCATACACTTAGTGTCACACACAAATAGAAACATAAAACACTAACAAAAATTTGATTAAAAAAAAGCCATGTAACTGACAGAAATATATGCTAACTATAGCTTCTGCTAAGCTAATCCAAAGTCATCATTAATTTCAAGTCTCTCAAAATACTTATAAAATGATGCCACTAATCACAACAAAATTACATTTTCAAACTATCAATCAATCAGTAAAACAACCAGAGCAATAACCCATCAAGTATAGAATCAAATGAGTGCACAGAACAAAAAAAGCTATGACATGGCCCTGAAGACACAATCTGCTTATAAAAAATTAAACAGAAAAATGCAATGGCTTACGTAGACAACAATTTATACATCCAACACCTTCAAATATGCTACTCTGTTTAAAAATAACAACCAAAAAAGTTCAAATAATTCAGAAGATGTCTTTGAAAAAATGGCCAACAAAGTAATAAGGAAATTCATACTGCATCAGACATGTCACAATGGAGCTTAGTCACAGAATCCCCACGCCCAAACTCCTGTGGAAATCCATAAGCAATATACGTCTTTGGCCCCATGTCTGGCTTTAGGTAAGTGTCTGGCAACTTCACAGTAAGGTTAAGAGCACCATTGAGAGGATCCGTATATTCCTTGTAGGGCAAGGAGGATATGAACTCAGCACAATGTCGAGGTAAGCGTTCCTCAAATAGATTAGAAGGAGGCCAATCTTTTAATTTCAATATCTGAGGCCAATCAAGCCAATCCTTACGACCACTTGTATACCCAGTAAAAAATTGGTGGATATTAATCTCTCCCTGCATTTAAACAACAGGAATATAAAACTGCAGAAAATCACTGGCAAAAGTAGACTAGCCACATAAAAATGGCAAAGAATTACTGAATCAGTAAAATAAAGCAGATATGGTTTAGTCTGATTACAAAATGAAAAGACACAAGTACAACTAAGAAAATATAAAGAAGTACATTTTACCCAACATCAGCTGGACGCTGTGAGTATGCCTAAGAAGTAGGCATACATACTAATAGGAAAATAGAATGCAAAGGATGCATCGGCAACAAGAAAGGGTTTGGGTTCACAAAGCAAGAACAGAAAAACAGATAGGGACAACAGACAGCAAGAAAATGAGAAATTCTAAGATGATAAGATATGAGTGAAACCTAGAACTACCAAGATGATGATAACAATGATAGCAGTATAAACTGAGTCAACAACACCTATATTTGTTGTCAATGTTCGGAAACAGCATACAGCAAACAATATGGGCTTAAAGTTTGTGATTATGTTGCACACTACACTCACAAATTTGACTTCTCAATTACCACCCTAATGGGTTCTTTTTAATTCTACGAATGATAAGACTTCCATCTTGAATTGGTATCTCTCTATGACCCAAACAGCAGAAGATTAGTAACTATTTCTTACAGTGGAAATATCCACCAAAATATTTGTAATCTTTCAGTACTTTCCAACATATTTCTAGCATATTCAATTCTGATAACATCAAGGAACTCAGCAATAAACAAAACTAAATGCACTGAAAAATCACTCTTAGTCCAGAAAAACGTGGAGTCACCATATTTGGAGAACTGTAGGAAATTCAATAATATCAAAAATTGCTACAATCAAATTATTCTCAGTGCCAATTTTATGCATACTGATTCCAGTTAACATAAGCACTGACATTAAAAAAAATCAATTTAGATATAAGCTTCATGAGAATAAACATGAACAATGAAATTTCAGTAAAATTTCCTACTAGTTCAACATTGAGATATCAAACAAACCTCACACCAATCTAAGCAATCAATTGCCTTCACATCCAAATGTTGATCATGTTTGGTCTTAGTTATCTGACGGAATGCACGCCACATGACCAGTGGTTCCCAGCTTAAACCAGATGTACATTCAAGTACATTGCTGACAATGACAGGCTCCCCTCTTTTCCAATGCCATTGAAAATGTCTTAAATCTTCATGCTGTAAATCTACAGCCCTAGGACAGTATAAATAGTTGTCAGTGGAATCTCCACGAAAAGCAGCCTTCCTCATATTATCACATTTAACATTTGTGTTTCTATCAAGCTTCAAACATGAACAGTAGATGTCAGAGGATTGGACTGCTTCTTGAAGCTTGTATGCTTGTACAAGTTCTTCTGCTTTACATACTAACTCGGCAATATAATCTTGACCTAATATGCTTCTCAGTTCAAGAAAACCATGGTCACATTCATCATTGGCTTTTGGACAAGGAATGCTACCATTGCTTTCTGCATGCCAACCAGATCTTGACCATTCGCGAACCCCAGGCTTAGCACCAGCATTTGATGCAATTTGTTTTTGATTTTTATTTTCTTTTTCACCATGCAAGTATTCACGACCTCGCCAGACAAATTCCAACTCAATTGGATCTGCACCACCTAGAAGCTGCCCACTACGAAGCTCACCGCAACAGATGAGACAAAGGTCAAAAGGGCATTTTGTACAGCTTCTGTGGTAATCAAATATTGACGTTTTGCAGTTGTCACTACAAAAGAGTGTTAAGTCAACAACTAAATAATAGGAGGATAACTGAAAAAATATATTAGAAATCAGATAATTCCCAACCAGTACGAACGCTCCTTGTCAGAGTAATCTGCCTTTACTATATTTAGCTCTGAGAGTGAGAGCCCTGTAGTGCAAAACCCAAAAGCAAATTATACAATGAAAAAGATATGGAAGTTGTACTGAACTCTGACTGGGGAGGTGAGATACAAACTCAAGCTAAGCTGCTACAGTGCATACAAGAAAAATAGTTTAAGGTAAGTAGACAAGTAATGCCCAGATGAGAGAGATAATTAATTCTAAAATGAAGAACCAAACCAAAAAACAGTTACATTAATAAGAGGAGGAATAACTTGAAATATGGGTGGCAACTTGCAATAGTCAGTCTGTTCAAAGGCCAAAAGTTTATCAATGGTTATAAAATAGATAATTCTTCCCCTTTTCCAGTCAGACTTCAGAATGCAAAAAATGTGGCTTCATGGCCTCACTTCAAAACAATGGTTTAGTTGTGTGTAGCATAACGAGTATTGGAACAAACACTGATCAAACCTAGTTTGCTTCAGCATCAAATTCATCTCATTCAAAACAATATAACCTCAACCAAGACTCATGTGGGGGGGGGGGGGCGCACAAACCTTGTATCTTAGCTTCTATCTCCTTCTCAATAATCTGTTCTTCATCCAACTGCCTTAAATATGGAAGAAGTGTTTGCAGCAAGGACAGGGAGAGTTCAACCTTCTCATCTTTATTGGTTTTTGCCTTTTCCTTCATTTCCTACAGCAACCCAAATGGTAACATTTGTAGACATAGAAAGTGACAGGAAAAAGGCAATCTAATCAAGAAGGGGGGAAGAACTAACGTTGATAAGTTCATCAGATCTCAAGCATGCTTTGCAATTGCAATTTCCGCAGCACACAGGACATGCCTTAGCAATGTCATCTGGTTCCAAATGAGGATACCTTTCCAAGACACGGCAAAAATAATCAAGGATTGACAGCATTGGTGGTCAATCCAAACTTGCAAAATATTTTGAATAACTTTTCAGGGCATTGATCTTACATTTGTTTCACATTAATTATGACCTTTCTCCCTAACAGAAGAAGTAGTAGCAGATTAAACATGGCATGGATAATTTCATGAAACAGTCCAACATATTATTAAAAATCTTGGTATACACAAAAAAAATATCCTAAGATGAAACAGACCCTGGATTTTTAGCTGGTAATGCAGTAGGGACATGGATATAAGCATCACATATATCTTACCCAAACGAACAAGGCATATTCAATAACAAGATAACTAACATAGAATGTTAAAGTGAAAGAGAGGGAAGTTACCAGGCCTTTAAACAAAAAAGACAATATCTTTTGCGTTTACAACTTGTGCACCTCACAACATCGCCTTTATCATTTCTCTGACATTGATGGCACATTGAGGACTTATCTTGAATCCGCTGTTGATTGAAACCCAAAACATGACCTCAATACTCACATGTAAAACCAAACTCAAAACATAAAAAGAGCAGAAATCTCATGTCACCTTAGGATCCCGCGTGTGGAGTTTTGGTTTCTCCTCTCTAACAACTTTACGGCCTCTAAGACCATATTCTCTCCGAATGCCACTTCCTGAATAATCCAAAGCCATTTTAAACTCGCCATCATCTACCTTGAGAATCTTTCTTTTCCTGCAAGGTCTCTCCTCCAAAACCCCACCATTATCGTCTTCATTACCCTCTTGTTCCCTCTTCACAACCCCGTTTTCTTCTTCCAACTTTCCCTTCTGCTCCATGGCCTTATCCTTTTTACTCTTCCTCCCGCGCTTCTTTTTCACGACCTCTTGAACTGAAGAAGAACCTTTTGCCCCATCATGGTCATTATTTTCAGCCAAGTTGATCACTTGAGCTTCTCCATCGACCTTTTCCTCCAAAATGGTGTCTCTGGGCACCTCACCCTGAGCATGAAAATCGAAAGATTGTGTTTCTTGATGAGTGTCGACAGAAACAGGGTCCACTGTGGCTGTGTTGTTCCTTTGCGGCTTCTTCCTTCCACGCGCCATGGAAATTCCGGATAAAGCTTTTGTCGGTATTCGTGTTGGCAAAAGACAGGATCAAGAATCAGAAGAATGATAGTGAGAAAGTTCAGCAAATTGTCAACCCTAACAACTATGTAATCTATATCGACCTGGGTTGTGTCTTGTTTTCTATTTATTTTCGATCTTTTCTACACGTACGAGGCAGATACCTAAATCATTTTGTCATGTTACGATGAAAATAATAAGAATTAATTAATAAATAAGGGAAAGGGAAAAGGGTGGGAGGGTTTTGAAATCTGGCGCCAACATCAAATTTGAGGAAACATTGTCGAAATGAAACTAATTAACTGAGGCATTTATTTAATAGTAATAAATATGCAAAAAGAGAGGGAGAGAATAGAATCACACCTGAATGTGAATGTGAATGTGAATGTGATAGGGCGAAGATTCGGTGAGTACAAAAATCGATGTGTCTGAAGGGAACTACGAACAAGTGTGAGGATAATTCAAATCTGTGGGCTTCAACCTGTGGATTCCTCATTCACCACCACACTACTGTTTACTCACTGTTATGTTAGTTGCCTCATGCCTGTAACATGCTCCCTTTTCTCAAAACGGCTATTTGCAATTTATATTTCATTATCATAAAATTATACTGTGTTCTAGTTTAGATCGATTTAAAAATTAAAATATTAAGTCAATCAAATTTAATTAATTTTTTTTTTATTATTTTATTATTTCTTTTAATTTTTTTAAATAAAATTAATTATTTATGTAAAAAAATGATATACAAAACAAATTTAAACTACACAAAAATATATATACTTATATAATCATGACAATAAAACTGTATCTCTAAAAAATACTAATAACGTAAAAATTTAAAAATAATATCATAAAAAGTTAAATATTAAAATTTTATTAATATATAATCTTAAAATTTTAGTAAAATATTAATTTTATAAATTAATATTATACATGTATATATATATATATATATATGTATATGTATATATATATATATATATATATATAGTTTGAATTAGACTAGAACAATTTTAAAATAACATGTAAAAGTTAATTCAATAAAATATATCGTTTTTGTGATTTTTAGTTAATTTATTTTAAAAATATATTTTTTTTAAGTTTATATTGGAGTTGTTTAAGTTTTGTAATTTTAAGTTTATTTACTCCTTCTAATTTAATTTTTTACAATTTGTATAAAGTTAAACAAGTTGACAACTTAGTTTAAATGAACTTATCAGTAGGTATTTATAAAAATAAAAAATAATAATAATATAAATCATACTATTTTATAATTAATAAATTAAAATTTATTTTTATTTTTTTAAGTTATTATAAATATTTTTTTGAATTTTAAGATATAATTTTATTTTAATTCATAAATACATATATAAAAACTTATCCAGATTTCAGTTATCATTTTTGTTTCCATAAAATTGTTATTTTGAGAAAGAAATTATAGATCTTTTTAATTTTTCAAGTGTATATTTTTTTTCACGTCTTGATCTATACAAACATCACTTGTTTCACTTTAATTCCATTCCTCGATAATTTGTTTTTTTCTATGTTTTATTCATTTTTATTTCATTTTAATATTCAACATAAAGTGACGGTCAATTTAAATGAAGGATCAAATAAAACAAAAACAAAAACAAGAAAAAAATTACATGTTATATAAATATTATCTAATAATTTAACAAAATAAGAATAAAAATACAAAACTTAAAAACCTCACATTCCTCTCATTTCACTTTCTTTCGTTCTATAAAAATATATTTTTTATTTTCATGAAAACTTCACCTCTGCAAATACACTGAAAAAATATTTTTACCATTGTCAATTCAGTTTTCGAAAAAAAAAAAAAAAGAGCGAGCAAGTACAAAAGACTTGAAACGAATAACATTTTTTATAAAAAAATCAAGACTTGCAATAACAAAAAGTTAAGTATTTTATATTTAATATTTATTTTACCTTTACAATTAGTTACTTTGAATACGAAAAAAAACGTATTTAAGAGAATGTACGATGAAAACGTTAAATATCACTAATTTTGGAGTACATATAATGCATGAATGTTTTATTTTAGAATATATATAATAGAAGTATTTTAAATAATAACTTAAAGAAATTAAGTCTATACCTACAAATAATTTGTATCGAAATGATTAAAAAAATTAAAAATAAGAAAAGAACAAAGAAAGTTGAAAAAACAAACTCTCTAATTTAAGAATATTTTTAAAAAATTACAGGGATTTTTAAATATTTGTACAAACTATTTTTTGTATTTAAAATTTTCAAACAATGATTATCATAAAAATAAACACTAATATTTTCCTTTTTTAAATCTAACTTTTAAACAAATTAAAAAAAATTACATTCTTCCATCGAATGTCAAAGTTTTATGTAGATTTTTTTTCATAAATATTAAGAAGATATCATTTATTTAATGATAATAACTTTTTTATTTAAATCAAATATATATTTTTTTGAATTAAAGGTTGGTACTAACTTAAAATAAACAAAGTATTTTATTCTGAATTTTTAGATAATTTTTTTATAAGCAAAACATATATTATTAAAGAGAGTTTAAGGGAAACTCAAAATCTATATACATAAAAAAAGATTACTAACTGAGAGAAATAAAAAATAAAAATATAGTTATACAGAATTAAAACGGATGTAATTTCGTGGGTTCAAATATCAAACAGCTAATAAAATAACTTTTCATTTACTAACAAGTGATAGTCATTTCCAGAACCTCAGAATAATAGAATTTATAACTTCTCTCTCATCCAAAACACCATTAGAAAATACAATTCAATTTATATGTAATCACAAATATCACACTGTACTTAACCAAACAATTAATAAGCATATATCTTCTCTTTTACTACAGCCAACATCAACCAAAAAAAGCAAGTGAGTCGATATATCTGAAGTTAAAACCAGTGAGAATCCAAGGCAACGCGCAGTAAAGTACCAGATTTGATATAAAACTGAACACGTTCAAAAAAATTAAGTTGAAAGTTCCTCCAAACCATGACAAAAACAACAAGTTATATCATCAATTTGAACATCTCGATCAATCAACAAACCCAACAACAATTGTTAAGAAAATACCAGATACTTAAGAGGTATCTTCCCTCTCCATAACCTTTACAAGGTATCTGCCGTACACTGATCTACACTATTAAAACTACCAAAAAGTTCAAATAATCATGAATACGTAGATTGTACTGAATAACAACCTGAAGAATCTACTCTTTCATACCCATTTATCTTCTTGTAGTAACTTACTAAAAACTCCATCCATAAGCTCCAACAAAAGATTGAAACTTGATATCTCATGTTGAAAGAATCATTTTCGCCAACTAACATCCTAAACTCACCTAGTGCCATCATGAAAACTATTTTCCAATACACATGATTCAGCATTCCTCGCCACCGCAAACAATCACAGAAATATTTCACACAATCGCACCCCGCCTACCCACTTATCTCTCCAAAAAAGAGTGTGTAAACCTGCACCAACACTCCTATCAAAATTTTCATCCAGTCATGAATTCCTTTGATGAATAACCTCCATCAAATCACGTCACCACAAAGAACATCTGGTGTGGACTAATGGATGCTGAATAAAAAAAGCTAATCTTCGATACCTAGATTCAAACACTCGCACCCACAATGAACTAGAACAATTAACACCTCGCCATAAAAAAGCGCTTAGTTAAACCACTGCACATTCCTAATTCCAAAGTCATCATTCTTCCACGGTCTACATACCATTTCCTATTTCACCTAGGAGATTTTAGATCTATCCTTAACAACCTTTCATAAAAATTTTCATTGGATAGTGACAATCTCCTTTATCACCGACTTCGGCACCTTAAAAAAGGATAACGAGTATAATGACATAGAATTAAGAACTGCATTAATCAAAGTCACTCTGCTTCCAGTCATTAAGTTTCATATATACTTCCTCCAATCATTTTTATAAAAAACAAAATGAAATATTTTTTTGTCCTTATTATAAAAAATAAATAATACATTCAAGATGCATTAATTAATAAATATTTTTTATACCATTATTTTATTAGTATTATTAAATATACAAAATACTAACTATATCATTTAATATTATGAGTATTTTTTGAAAAAAATTTATATTTATAAAAAATATAACATACTTAATTGTTTTTTCTAAACCTGATAATTTAGTCTTTTGTTTTCTATAAAAATGACCAGAAGGAGTATTTTAGTAGTCATAGTTTTTCTAATGATAAATAAATAAATAAAAATTAATTATTAATTAGCAGATAACATTTAATGTAGAGATATTTACTCTAAATAATTTTTTTATTTTATTATAAATTTTGACAATCTCAACTTTCAAGATCAAATTTAAATACATATAAATAAAAAATTATAAAAATATATTTATTATATTGAATTATAAAAGTATAATAACAAAATTTTAATACATATTTATTATTAATAATTTTTTATCTTTAATTCTAAAAGTTGAGGTTAAGTTTTTTATTAATTTTATCAGTTTGAAGTTGGAAAGAAAATAAGCATTTTGTTATTTAATATCTCAACAATAAACTATTTTTTATGGCATTGTAAATACTTTTAAAATTTAATTGAGACAGTACCGAAATAACTTTTGCTCAGTGTTATTTGTCTTATAATTTTTTAAAATAATCACATTTAATAAAATATATAAATCTATTAGTTTCGCTGTGAAATACTTTATTTTTAATACCAAGTCCTCTTCATCAATAAAAAGTGTATTTTATTATTGCTGCATTTTTTTAAGCATGAAAGTGTTTGTTAAATATAAATTTTGTTAAATAAAAATCATTCAAAGATAATTTAATAAAAATGGAAGTCAAAACTAAACTCCAAGCTTTTGACTTGATTCAATTTGTTCAAAATTTTTAAATAAGGTTATTTTATGCAATTTCTATAATTATTTTGTAGTTTTTTTATTATTTTTGTTTGAATTGCATAATTGTAGTGTGAATGAACCCAACATATTTATCAAATGGCTTATATTAATTATTGAGTTAATTGAATTAAATAATTTTATAGAAGTTAAAAATAAATATAGACAGCAGAAAAATTTTGTGTTAATTTCTTCATTATCAAGGCTAAAATAAAATTTTATTATACCTTTTCATAATTTTAATATAATAAATGTATTTTTTATAAAAAAAATTTTAAACTCAATTTTAAATATGAAATTAACAAAATTAAAAAAAACCTTGTTTAAATCCAAATTAATTTTGTTATTTATTGATTTTATTAAAACATGCATTAAATGCCATGTTTATTAATATACATACTTAACTCAATGTACAGTCTAATATCGGTTCCAAGTGGTCGTGGCGATGGTCTTTTTATTTATGGTTTTGTAAGAGAGGAAGACAAGACAGGAATCATCGAAGGTGTTGAGATCAACGTTGAAATGGCGAGTGACGAGGTGTGTTTGGATCAGCTTCCGAGGGCCTTGTTGGGCACCGTAATGACGAAGCTCGACATAGCTTCAATCTGTTCATTGGCTTCAACATCTTCCACTTTTCGCTCATGTGCCAAACACATCCTTTCATTCCTTCCTACTTTCCACCTTCTCGTACGTCTCTTTCTCATCTTCAAATTGATCAAGTTCGTTTCTTTTTCTGATTTTGCATCTGGGTTTTTCTTCTTCTTTCAGGATATTGCGCCTTCTGCGAAATTGTTAAGACCCTTGCTCCCACCCAATCCATACCTTACCAGTCTCAAGGTTGAGTGTGGTGGCCTTGACGATTCTGCTATTTCCTTCTTGCTCAAACCCTCCTTGCACGACCTCTCTCTCCACAATTGTGTTGATTTCAGTGGCAAACTCTTGTCTGAGATTGGGAACCGATGCAAAGACCTAAGGTTTGTTTCTTAATGTCCTATGTAGCAATACCATGGTCTAGTGTGTCGGTTGCTTGGTTCGTGTTATTTAATTTGTGTTCAATTAGGTCTCTCTATTTGGGCTCAGTGGCAGAAAAAAGAGGAAGGGCTATTCATATCTCTGATTTGGAGGAGTTGCTCAGCGGTTGCTCCCACTTGGAAGTAAGACATATGGAAAGTAAAAACTTCGAATAATAGTATTCTTCTAGAGAAGTTATATTGATTGATCTTGGTGACCCTATCAACATTTATCAGCCATTCTTGCTTGCTATGGTATTTGGTAAAAGCCTTTCAAGATACTGAGTTTTACTTGTTATGGTAATGGTAATGGTAAAAGTCCCTTGCTCTGTTAATTGGTATCATTGGACTTTTTGTTCGAATTTAGTCAGATCTGGGCATTTGTTGAGGTTTAGAGGTTTCCTTGATTGTATATATTTTCATAAAGGGAAATGCGAAGGCTTAGGAAAAATCATGTTATCTGTATTACTGTATGTATTTTAATGAATAATTGAATGACTGTCTAATTTCATCATAACGTCTCATGTATAATAATAAAAGCATCCTTCTGCCATTTGGATCTAAAATGCATTCGGATTATTTTGGTAGGAGCTGATTCTGATGTTTGATGTCTCTCTCTTTCTGCGGCATAACTTTGCTCGAGTTTGGGCTTCTGCCTCTGAGAAACTCACTTCTCTTGAGATTGGCTACATTTCTTCGGTTACAGTGACTGAACTGCTTAGCCCGAATTTGGGACCCCATCAGCCTTTAAATCCTGTTCAACCATCCATACTTCCAAACATTCAGAAACTGTGTCTTGGAGTGGATTATATAACTGATGCTATGGTTGGTACAATATCCAAAGGTCTTGTCTTTTTGACCCATTTGGATCTTCGAGATGCACCGCTGATTGAACCAAGGATTACATTTGACCTAACCAATGCTGGCCTTCAACAAATTAATCAACTTGGGAGATTGAAACATCTCTCACTTGTCAGAAGCCAAGAGTTCCTAATTACCTATTTTCGAAGAGTTAATGATCTGGGATTTCTTCTAATGGCTGACAGGTGTGCAAACATGGAGAGCATATGCCTCGGTGGCTTTTGTCGTGTCACAGACACCGGTTTCAAAACTATCCTGCATTCTTGCTCTCATTTATACAAGCTAAAGGTTACTCATGGGACTCAATTAACTGATCTAGTTTTTCATGATATTTCTGCAACATCTCTTACTTTGACACATGTGAGCTTAAGATGGTGCAATCTGTTAACCAACCGTGCAGTTATGAGTTTGGCATCAAACAAGGAACTTAAAATTCTTGACTTGAGAGACTGCAGGAGCCTGGGGGATGAAGCTCTCCAGGCCATTGGCACTCTTCCAAAATTGAAAATTTTACTATTAGATGGCTCTGACATAACTGATGCGGGACTTTCAAACTTAAGACCAACTGTTATTAGTTCATTGTATGCGTTGTCTCTTCGAGGGTGCAAGAGACTTACAGATAAATGCATCACAGCTTTATTTGATGGCTGTGGGGTGCTGGAATTACGAGAACTGGATTTATCTAATCTCCCTAACCTCTCAGATAATGGAGTTCTGCTGCTGGCAAAAACTCGAATTCCCTTTTATGAACTCCGTATGCGACAGTGCCCGCTAATTGGTGATATTTCAGTTATGGCATTGGCTTCAATGCTGGTTGATGAGGCCAGATGGCATGGAAGCAATTTGCGTTTGTTGGATCTTTATAATTGTGGTGGCATTAAACAGCTTGCATTTCGTTGGTTAAAGAAACCATATTTTCCGAGGCTCAGATGGTTGGGAGTGACTGGAAGTGTTAATAGAGATATGGTAGATGCTTTAGCCAGGAATAGACCATTCTTACGCGTGGCATGCCATGGTGAGGAGATTGGGGCTGACCCATATGATACGTCAGATGGTTTATATACTCATGATTATGATGAGGTAGATGAATTTGAGCAGTGGCTTCTTGAAGCGGATGTTGACAGCGACGATGAAGAATTGGTTGATGCTGAAAATAATGAAGTGGTCGTGTAATTTGCTTTTAAATTCTCGTAATATGTCTGCATATGTATGTGTATGTCTGTCTGGATCTTGTTCTATAGGTATTTGTCACAGGTTTTAGTAGCTAAGACTTCTTGTATGATATGTACTGTATCTCACTACCGTTGCTTTTCCTAAACATCCTCACTTTGTGTTTTTCACAGGCATCTGAGGCGTTAAAGTGCCCTTATTTGCAACTTTATGTTGATTAACATCGTCCATCTTTCAGTCCAACAACCTGTTCTCCTGAAAAACCAATTTCTGCTATCAAAGATCCTTGAAAAAAATATGGCTGAAAGTTTAAAATGTAGCACTTAGAGTAATGACAAACATAGTTTGACATGAGAGAAACACAGCAACAACTGAGCCAAAATGTGATAATAATAATAACAATAATAATAAAAAGCTTCCTGAGACGGTTCTAACATCAATTGACGAGGATGGCCCAGAGCATATCCTGCCTGGTGAGGAAGAAAATGGCTTTAGCCTCCAATGATGCCATTGCCAATTGCCAAGAAAAAGCTCTCATAATGAACAGTTTCCTAATGTTGAATCTAAACAGCCAAAAATAAATTGGAAATATAATGATGGCTTTGAAATAGGGAAAAATGAAAGAAATAAGTTTAGTTTTCCAATTAGAGGCAATCGCATAAAGGCTGGTGGTGTATATCAAGACAGAAAATGAATACCTAAACATGAATCTATTGCAACTAGTTTAAAGCATAATTAAGTCACCAACTGTTGCACTTGCGAAAGCAACAGTCTGCAAACGAATGCATGGACCACATCATTCAAAGTACCATTTGTTAGTAAGATTGAATTTATTTCACATATCAGAATCCTCATCAAAATTTAAACCTCCACCATCTGGTCTTATCATTAAGCAAGTATTTAACTTGTTTTTTTTTTTTTTCAAGCATTACTATGGTTTCAATCCCCCACGGCCCTTTTAGCCCGCTACTTGATACTTGCCATATACCCGTGACGTGAGTCTAGCCACTGCTCTTTTTACTTTAATCAATGCTAACCTTTTTACTTCATATGGAAGATCAAAATATGCACATGTATGGATATTCCCTCAGCACACTGCCATCTTTTTATAATCTAACCAAAACATCCAATTTAATTTTAATACCTATGATTTCAACTGAAAAATATTGGTATAATGCATAACTCACTAACTTTATACAATTTCTAAGTCTGAATTCTAGCACGAAGGCAACTAACTTCACAGCATTTCTTTCGTGCAAACAAAACATTCCTTTTAGCTTTGGACTTGGGAGATAAAGCTATGACTTGTGGAAGCGTGTTAGGACGACATTGGACCAGTATGTCTCCTTTTTAGTTTTAAATTTTGAAAATGAACGATTTATCTTTGCATAAATTTCATTATACTAGTTTCACGGCTTTAATTAGTTCTAATAAAGAAAGAAATATTCAAATATTAAAGCAAACTAAAAGATCTAATATTTGAAGTGTAAAAGATAAGAAATTAATGTAAAACCTATTTCAATAATATGTATATTTAAATATAATTTATTTTCTGGTTGTCCACTACAAAGCACGTTTGATGCATACCCAAACATGATATACAAGTGTGTGTTTGTTTTGTAGCCAGAAAAGAGGACGAGGAATAGGCATGATTCTCAATCACATACATTGCATAACAAAAATTACGCTAATAAGAAAAGTATCACCATCAGTGTCAAGAGATTTGACTTCAAGGTGTGTGTTTAATATTGAAGGTTGTCCTACAGAATAACCAAAAACCCTTTAAAAATTTGTGCCAAATTTTATTGTCAATTTTAAAAACCCTCGTTGCCAAATAAAAATTGGGTACTTCACTTGTGATAAAATATAAAGATTAGAGGTTTGTACCATGGATAAAAAGAATATCCCAAATATCTGAGTTATAAAAACGCTAAAAATTTCTGTCACATGAGTCTGATCTGGCCTATACTTTTATTTAAACGAATATAGGCTGCATAGCGTGCACATTGATGAGTATAGTATTTAATTGATTAATGAAAATCACGTTTCGGTTTGCATGTAATATACCAAATAATTCGTGGACTGCATGTGTTTGTCGGCTATACAGAGTAGAAGAAAACACGTTGATTCGTGGTTAACGTGATTTTGTCTCGCTTCACCAAGAGTAAGAGTACAATTTGCTTTACTTTTAGTATTCTAATTAGAGAATAAGTGCTATATATAAGTTTTATACTCTCTCTTAAACAATATTTCATTGTTTATTTAATATAGGGAGTTAACAAGTAATATAATTCATAGTTATATTCTAATTCTTTTAATAACAACATTTTATCACAATAATTAGTACACATTGTCATGAACGATTAATAATTAAAAACGGACTAAGTGTATTGATGGGGTATAAATGATATTTCCCTAAATTTCAATGAATGCGTCCACATTCAAAGAATGTATAACGTTGTCTGCATATTATTTATTATATTATATATTATATTAACGAACGCAAAATTTAATTTTGTTTTTTTGAGATAATTTGGTTTTTTAAATAATTAATTATATTTTTTTAAATATAACATTTAATTTTATTAATATATTATGTTTTATGATAATTCATAATTTTCAATAAAAGCATACTATATATACATTTTTTATATATATTATTAGACATAGATTGAGAATTTTGAAGATAAAAACGAATTCTTTCCTAGTATTCATTGTTCTCATCTATTAACGAGGAATAGATTACACATACATGCATGCATATAGACACATGTTTTTATTCAATGCGTGTTCATGTCATGGGTATAAAAGACATCCACGTATACTATTTGATTGAACATTTTAATGACAGTGATATAAACAAATTAAGAATATTTTGTTATTTTTATTTACCATTTATTCGTACAAATCTTCTTAATTGACAAGGAAAAATATATAAAAGATAATAAAATATCCTTTTTATTTTAATTACATAAATTGCTCGTGATTCGTCACATTTGTTGTCCTTTCTCAATCATTTCGTAAATTCTTCTGTTTGATTATCTAAAAATTACATTCTATTTAAAATTTCTGAAAATTGGTGAATAATAATAATAATATAGTTATTTTAGTTTTCTCTTGCCTCTTTCTTGCCTTAGTTCTATTTTATTTTATTTTTAAATATCCCCAATTTTATTTGGTCCAACTTGACAACTGGGTACAAAAATTAAACAAAAAGATAATGTATATATGTGAGAAACATGGCTTGATTCCCTTTTAGCTCGTTGGAAACCCCATAGTATTTTCTATTTAAATTAGAAAAAGGACATTTAGTTTTAATTATATGAGATTCTTTTCCATTGTTTTTTCTATTTAAACCTTCTAAATTTGTATTTTGATTAAAAAATTTATAAATTCGGTTTGTTAAATTGCCATGTATATAAAAAATACTTTAATTTGTTAACTTTAATTTCACGTGTCGTAAAAACTTTAAATTTTTATAAAATATTCATTTTTTAATCTTTAAAGTCATTCTATGTTTCAACTCTGTTATAAGTCTTCTAAGTTTTTAAATAAAAAAATGATAAATGAGAGTACAAAATAATCAGCGAATAATTTAATTTACATTTTTATGTACACTGTAGTGAGTGTTATATTTAAATTAAAAAAACTTGAGAGATCAAAACAAAATATAATTCAATCTGAAATTAATATGTCATGTTAATTGATTAGTGTGGCCTTTGTCAAAAGTCAACTGAATAAATTAAATAATCTTCAACTATTCTTCTCACTAATCTTATCTACCCCGAATCAGATTTGTGATTTCAGTATGCTTATCTTTCTCCTAATTAATACTATTTTTATTTGTTTAAACTCACTAAAATGCTAGCTACCGTTAACATATTTTCTTGGGGGCGAGTGGAACTTGCCTGTTTTATTTTAAAATGGAATAATAATTTTAATTAATTATAATATCTTTTATGTCAACAATTGATTATAATATCCGAAGCATACACCGAGTACCTGAAACACTGTTTGGGCTACATCACCGCACCCCTGATTTCAACACTTGTTTCTCTATAAATAAATTAAATTATCTTTTGACCATTTTGACCTCCCAACCCAGTGTTTGGTTTTACTAGCAAACTTTTGTTATATATCATTTTGTTTCACTCCTTTGAACGTAAGTGTAGTTTTTCTTATCTTTGATTATTGGCAGATTTGTATTCTTATCTTAAACGACAAACATAACTTTTGCTTATTTGTAGATGTGGTTTTTTAAAAACTGCTTTTCCCCTCTTCCTTTCAATTTATAATCACGTGTTTTTAAATAAATATAAATATTTTAACAAATTATTTGTTTATAAAATATTAAAAAAACAATCAAACTATAAGATAGAAAAAAAGTGTAAGCAAACATTATTTTAACAGAACTAGTATTTAGTACGAAGAAACTTTTACAAATTCTCTACAAAATGAAATGAACAGAGACACTTGATCAAATATTAAACTGAAAGTTAAGATAAAACTCTTAATTTTTACTCAAATCATGGCAAAATTTTTTAACACACGTTTCGCACATGATAAAATTTTGTGCCAACAAGCAATTTCCTTATTTTAATTTGACTTTTCGACGATTACAACAAAGTGGGTTGCATGTCCCAACCACTCGCCGCTTCGCTGTCAAACCTCATCCCTTCCTTCTTCCCAGGATGTCTCTTCCTCGCCTCCAAGGGTCACTTTGCCACCTCACCATCTTTCTACTTCATTTTTTTTAAAATTTATTGCTATTATTTATTTTCATATTCACAAATCGCTGGAAAAAAACACTGTAATGGAGAATTTTAAAGAGATAAAAAAGAAAAATTATTTTATTTTTAATTAAGAAAGCAACAGAGCATTTAAAGAAAAACGATAATTCATTTATTTCATTCAAACATAGCGTGAATGAATTTAATTATATCAGTTAAAATTTTAACTTTTGTATAAAAGAATAACACACACCGTATTATTATAAGTCAAGGGTACGTGATACATGAAAATATTTTTCCTTGGATGCGAATCGCATATTGGCATGCGTGGTTGCACGCGTCATCCTCGTGTTTGCCACGTATACTTGCGAGACCGGGTTTCCTCATCCCACGCGATTATCTTAATCTCGTTTATCCCTTAATTAATTGCATCTCCTCACTAAAATAATATTTTAGCTGTGAATGTGATATTATTGTTTAAGCTTAACTGATTCCCCTAATCCTCCATAATCAATCGCCAAATCATTCCCTCCATTTTAGGCAGCTCCTCAATTGGTTTCCGAAAATGATCAATTTGACCGTCCATGTTTTTTATGCTAATGAAAGATCTACCGTGACAGCTGATGTTTAGTAGCATTTGGTTACGGCTAATAAAATTTGAATACATAAATAAATAAAATTAATCTACAAGTCTTCAATTATTTAAAAAATCATCAACAAAGACTTGTATTGCATGTTTCATTATTTTATGTTAAGAATATATGATCCATTACCGAACTCGAAGGTGACGCGGAGGACCGGAGGGGAAATGACAACAGTAAACGGAAGCTCTTATGATGAGATAAAATAAACGTATTCATACTTGAGAATTTAATTTATACTATTTTTTCAATTTAAGTAAGATTTTAGTGTTACAAATGTTTCAAATTAATAAAACGATCGACGTAAAGTCACAAAAGGAGACAATTTGAGTGGACGGTGGTATCTGCGCAATCAAACAAATGAAAAATAAAAACAACAAAAGAAGGAAAATGTTGACTTCATTTCACAGGCATTTCCAAAATTCGTTAGACCGTTTAAATAAGGAAAAGAGATAGTTATATAGTGTCACAAACACAAAATAATAAAATTTTCTGCAAATGTGTATCTAAAAATAAATTAATAAAATTTTCAATGCCACCCATTATGGATCTAAGTAAAGTATCTAACCATATTCACATTTGACACCTTGGTTTACATCTTTAACGTAATTAAATGAAACTAGGTCTCCTCAGGTTTTTGAAGAAATCAGAATGAGTACATGAGAAGGCCAAAATTGACTTTTCATTATGAGCTTATCCAAATGTGTAGGTACTCAGAATGTGCCACTTCATTCCTAGTCATTTTACAATGTTCCAATTTATATTATTTGGAAATATTTATCTCTCGTGGGTTTTCAATTGTTATAATAGTGAGTTGAGTCATTGAAATCCAAGAACTTTCGATTGAGAATCAGAGTGGTGGTGGTGGGTCTCATTCATTGAAATCGCGCTTTCAATTTTCTTCAAATATGTGTCCTTTTAATTCTTATAATATTTGTTAATGCTGTTTCTAATTTTCAACATATACTTAATTTAATAAACATTTGATAAATTATATACTTAGAAAAATATATCATTTTCAACATATACTTAATTTAATAAACATTTGATAAATTATGAACAGGAGAAACTAATCAGTATTTTCTTAATACACTGTTTGCGTTCTCAAGGGGTAAAAATTAATTCAAAAGCATTGTCATTAACACAAAATACCATAAAATTTTTCACTCTATCGCATCTGTGGACTTTTTTGCCTTACGTCTTTGTCGTGTCAAAATCAAGTCTGCATTACTCAGCAAATGAGATGAATTAATGATCCTAATGAGCAATAAATCATGATTGATAGAGCAAATAGAATAAAGTAGGATATAACAAATAACTTTTATTTTTATATTCAACGCATTTGAAAATTAAATTACTCGTAAAGTTACAATTAACATGTTGATTGTTTTATACGCAAAATATTCTTACAATAATTAAAAATCACATGTAGACAGATAGAAAAATTAATAAATTTTAACAAATAAGTGTACTAGTGTGATCGATAAATAATAATAATTACCAAAAAATTATTTACGAGTCGGAAATCTTGATTTAATAGTGAGGAAATCACATTTGGCCCCCTCAGTCCCAAACTGTAAAGTCCCTAACAAATCCGCAATCAGAGTCAAATACAAGTTCAAATTATTAGGATAGAAAAGGAAAAAATAAAAGGGAAGAGCGTACACATGTAACATGTCACACACTAAAGAACAAGAAATTATTAGGATAGAAAAATATGTCCTTGGTTTAGAGATTAGGAACAGAAAGAAGCCTCAATTATTATTATTTTTATAAAAAAAACTAATTTATTTTACTTTGGATTATTTTTCGAAATAATGCGTATCCGTTCCATAATCCATGTGTGTGTGTAAATTATAATAAACCCAGGTCCCCATATTATTTCCACAACAATAAAAGCACCAGTGTGTGTTGTTTCATGTGAAGGAGCGAAACGCATCGCAATCTATCGTCTTTCGATGGTGATGGTGGTTACGGAGGGAAACGATAGCTGTAGCAGCGGAGTGCAGCACCATGCGTCGGCTTCCTCGTCGCCGGCGCATAGCCGACAACAGCGGCAGAAGGTGGAAGTGTACAATGAGATTCTTCGCCGGTTGAAGGATTCCGGCGACGAAGAGGCTATGCAACCAGGCTTCCACGATCAGCTTTGGGCTCACTTCAACCGTCTTCCTTCACGGTTCTTGCATTTTCCCTTTCCTCTTCTTTCGTATCTCTGCCTACATACATATGCATCACACTGTGTTAATCTTCTAACATTCATATACATGTTTTGTTTCCTTTTTATTTTCTGCATGTGCATCTCATTTTCTTCGTAGTTTTATCCGAATATTCTTTTATTTTCTTCTTGCGCTTCTGAATATCCGATGTTTTGGCAGTAGATTGATGTCTTTTGAAGCGTGAATATACGGAGTAGAATTAATTAACCATTCGTACTTGTCTTGAATCCATGTGTATGGTAGATGTTGGATTTTAGTGAATACTTGTCGTAATTTTGTTTTTGTTGATATCATATGGTTGATTAGGTCTACGATTTATTTTTTTATTAATGTTTTTTCGGATTTGGAGAGAGGTTTGAGGATATGGTGTAATGCAGGTATGCGTTGGACGTGAATGTGGAAAGAGCGGCAGATGTTCTTATGCACAAGAGATTATTGCACCTGGCACATGATCCTGCTAATAGGCCTTCAATTGAAGTTCGCTTAGTCCAGGTGAGGTGACCTAACCCTTTTTCACTGTAGGGGTAAATGATGTCTTAATCATGCTATTCACACTTCTATTTGCAGTTTTCACTTCTTAGTGATTTCATGTGGTGCTGCATTGTTGTTTTGGTGTGCTCAATTGTCATTCACTAGTGGGTCATTTCATTCTTGGCGGAGGATAACTATATTAAATTCTACATGTCGCAATCAGGCATCGCATATTATTATCATCCTTATAAGATCAAGCCTTTGAATATCAGTACAGGTGTTGCTGGACACTCTGCATGTAAACAATTTATTCTGTCAAATATTAAAATAATTTTTTTGTCCGGACAGCAAAGTGAGCTGTTTTGGTCACATGCAGCTGCAAAACAAATTAATGTGCAGTCGTTGAAGCAGTATACCTAACCCAATTCATTAACTTGCTGAACTACAACCAGACGATCTTGTTATTTAGATTTGTTGCTGAAATAGGGTGACTGTAGTCGAGGAGTATGATTTGCCCTTCATCATAATGTTTTGAGAAATTGCACTGAAATTTCGCATATTAATTTAAATGCATCTAAAATTGGGGCAGGAAAGCTTGTTTAATTATATCCAATTGTGTTTCTGCTTTACATGTGATCTAAAGCTAACTTGACTATGCATACTTGTGAGAAGGTGAAATTTGAAGAAAAAAACAAAGTTTATGGTGGTTTCATATGTTGGAAAATTCAATTGTGAAATCCTTGTTTGTAACTGAAATTGCGTTTGCTTCCATTTCATACATTTGGATCATGGCTTGGGTTTGTCGCCATGAGCACAATTTACAATTACTAATGATCTGTGATAGTGAAGTACTTTAAACTCAGCATTGCTTATTTTGTTTTCATTGCATTATTGATTGAAGAAATAAAATTCTCTGTGAATTTAAAGTTTAAACATGTTTGTTTTCATATAGCATGTGGATGGATCATTTAAGCCTCTTTCTTTATACTAGCACAGGAAAATGTGTAAAAGTCTATTTAATTAATGTGTCATTGGAGTGCCTGAGAATGTTTTCTGTCAGCAAATAACCCTACATCTGCCTTGTTATTGTTTCTTGTTATCAAAATATAATTTCCATGCCTATGAATTGGTTATGATTATGCTTTTTCTTGCTGTCTTCAAGTTCTGTTTAGTTTCAATTTTCATGTTTTGTATGGAATGATTCGTATTGTTTACCTCACTCCATGTGGGCATCATCAGTTTGGTATTGGAATCTTCTTGCAGGTTCATCCCGTATCAGATGGAAACTTAATTGACACTTTTGAATCAGATGCTCCTGGGATAGAATCTGGTCAAAGTTCTTCAAAGTACTCAAGCAGACAGAGGTATTATTTTCTCAGTTGTTGTATAGATTTCATAAATGTCTAGAATTTTTTGGGTGCTATTATAACAAAGCTCAAGCAATGGCTCTCTGTGTAAAGCACTACTGATTATTATAGTTAACCAGGCTTGATGTCTGTGATCTTTAGTTCTGATTTTTCTTCTTTCCTGTTTTTAACTTTTTAGTATACATCCACCTCCTGCTTTTGGTTCTTCTCCTAATCTTGAAGCACTAGCTCTTGAAACAAGTAATTCTGAAGACATAGAGGAGGAACAATCTGTACATGCCAATGCTCAATATTCACGGTGAAATTTCTGTCGCAAGCTATTTTTAGAACTAGGCATGGAAAATTTATTTGAGTGATGACCTAGAATCTAAATTTATTATGCATTTCTTTACATTCGGGGTTGGATCTAAAGAAGTAACTCAGATGGTCTGTAATGCTTGTAGCTTCCATGTATTTGCTTTCCAATAAATGTTACTAACTCTGACATTCTTGAGGTTGAGGTGCTGATAATTATTATTTGTATGCCAGTATGGTCTTAACATTTGCATGCATTTTTTTTTGGTGGTTCTTGTACTTTACAAATTTAAGAACTCATATATCTTAGTATATACTTGTATGCTGTGTTGATTCTTTATAATGCTTAGATGGTTTATGAAGCTTCTAGTCAAGTCTTTTGATTTAATTTTGATGCTTTTTTTGAAATATTCATATTTTTTTACTTGTGTCACTGAAATGATGTAGGCCAATGCATGAAATCACCATCTCAACAGATGACAAGCCAAAGCTTCTCAGTCAGGTATTTGATATCTTTTCTAGTCAAAATATTGTATGTTCTATTCTTAAACTGGTAGCAGAAATTTGAGATGCATTTCCCTCCGTCTATAATCTATATATTATTTATTGAAACATCTTATTGGTAGTTGAGACTTGAGAAGACATTTGATTTGGCTGGAACAGGCATTTAATAATAACTTACAAACTATCACCCCATTTAGATAAACTTAATTTGGACTAACTTTGAACATATGATAAATGAAGCATCTGAAAGGTCTGGCTCCATCTGCAGTTAACTGCATTGCTTGCTGAGATTGGACTGAACATCCAAGAAGCCCATGCCTTTTCCACAACTGATGGTTACTCATTAGATGTGTTTGTTGTTGAAGGATGGCCCTATGAGGTATGCTGATAATCTTCTGCTATCAATTTGTTGGGATGGATACATAATATTAAGAAAAATGGGCTGTTTCTTTCAAAGTTTGATGACATTGAACCCTATATTTATTTTGAGAATCATATCCACATTCATCTAAGCCACGTTAACGTTATAACGACCTTATTCAAGTTCATGGGCACCAGCAGCAGCATATCAACCATACAGGCCCAAGCTGCTTCTTTTATATTCTGGAATACTTTACAGTGTTACTATTTGCCATCACTTCCATTTTCTTTATTAATGTTCAGTATTATTAAAGTTTTAGTTTTTCTAGCACTGGTTGATGATGATTTGATATTGAAACAGGAAACAGAGAAGCTTAAAGAAGCTTTGGAAAAAGAAATCTTGAAGATTGAGGTAAATCTGGCCCCTTTACTGTGTTTTTGGACGACTACTTGAGTGAGTCAACTTGGCAAATGTTCAGTAATTGAACTCTTATTTGATCAATGGTTTCAGAGACAAGTGAGGTCCAGTCAGCAATCAGTATCTTCTGTGGACGAGCCTGATCAAGCAAAGAAGTGCGAACTAGATCATTTGACAATACCATATGATGGAACAGATGTTTGGGAAATAGATCCCAAACATTTGAAATATGGAACTCAAATTGCATCTGGGTCATATGGGGAACTGTGAGTGCATATCCAGAAATATGCTTTTATTTTGTGAGTTCCTAGATGTTCTCTCTAGGTGCAGATATCATTTCCATTTCAATTAACTTGTCTTTTTTTTTTTTCAATTAAATCAGATTTAAGGGTGTATATTGTAGCCAGGAAGTAGCCATCAAAGTTCTCAAGGCTGAGCATGTAAATTCCGAATTGCAGAGGGAGTTTGCGCAGGAAGTCTACATTATGAGGTTTGTTGCATTAAATTTTCACATTTTAACCATCTAAAGTTTATTTACCTGTTTATTGAGATAGTGGTGGTTTTGCATGTCAAAACCTGATATTGAAAATTCTTTTTCTTAACCCAGTAGGACCAAGATGAACGAGTAACTAGAACATACAATTATTGTAATGTGTAAATTAAATAATTGCACATGCTATAATTCTGTGTCCATAGCATAATAATATCCAAACCAGAGTTTTCTGCTGCTTTAAAGTAGAATAGTTTTTTTCCCATTGCGGATTATAATTCAACAACCCCCGCTTTTAGATGTGAGGTTGAATTTCACAGCAGGTCTCACCAATTTATCAACTTCGTCCAGTTTCTTTCATGTGAGAACCTGGACTTCAAATTTTGCAGGATTTTTAATTTTCCCCTCATAACATTTGGTAACAAAAAAATAGTTCAAGTCAACGTAATTAAGAAGGGGTAATTTTACTGAATGAAGAATATTAGAACAAACTTATGTATATCCTCAATATGTAAGAGTTCTAGAAATTAGTAGTGGACATGCTGCACACAAGCAGTTTACAGATCCACTTAACAGTTGTATTCTGATCTAGTTTGTTGGTACTAGTTATCATATGCCAAATTTATAATTCTGACATTTTCACTAATTTTTTGGTCTTTGTGGATGGGCAAATGTGCAATATGCAAATTGGTTATAGTTTTATATTCTCATTTAAAAAAAATTGTGCAGTTCCCTTGTTAAACTGACTACTGGAACTTGCAGAAAGGTTCGACACAAGAATGTTGTACAATTCATAGGAGCATGTACCAAGCCCCCACGCTTATGCATAGTAACAGGTGAAATCCAGTGAATTACATCATGTGTAGAATAATGGAATAGATGTGATCTTAAATATGCAGCAATTGTCAAACCCCATTGTAATAGTTGTTTCCTTTTCAATTTTCAGAATTCATGTCTGGTGGAAGTGTGTATGACTACCTACATAAGCAGAAGGGTTTTTTTAAATTTCCTACCCTGCTGAAAGTAGCAGTTGATGTTTCTAAAGGAATGAACTACTTGCACCAACATAACATAATCCATAGAGACTTGAAGGCTGCCAATCTTTTGATGGATGAAAATGGTGTACGATGTTTCCTTTTAACTTTTCTTTTTTGAAAATATATGATCTGATCCAATGCTTTTTCTGCTCTCTCTCTCTCTCAGCTGGACATATAGAACTCAAAGTTGTATATTTGTTCCACTGCAGACCGTAAAGGTTGCTGATTTTGGGGTTGCTAGAGTGAAAGCTCAATCTGGCGTTATGACAGCAGAAACTGGAACATATCGATGGATGGCTCCTGAGGTATATGATCACTTAATGTTATCATCATCAAGTTGTTCAAATAGTTTCTATGATATTGTTGGGCTTTTCAACAACCATTGTCTGTTTACTTGTTATGTTCCCATTGGAGTGTGTACTTTTTAAAAATTGGTTGTCCCGACCTAAATAAATGTTCAAAGTTTATCATAATTTGATGATTTTTCAGTAAACCCTATCATTCTGGAAATTTATAACAAATGAATTTTTGACATGACTTGTGAGTTGCATTAAAAAGTGTCCAGTCATGTTGCCTTGTTGACTGTAGATAAGCAGAGTGCACTGATCTTTATCCTTGTATTTGTGAAAAACTGATCTGAAGTGTTGGCCTTGTCATTCTTTGTTGTTTTTTTCTCCCTTCACATCATCATATTCCATACGTCAATATCTTATGAGATTTAATTGCATTGATGCATGTAGTGTGAGAAATAGGATTACTGCAGCATTATATTTCAGAATAACAATCCAGGTTTAGTGCTTGTAGAAAGCAATTTGAATTTAGGGTGAACTGATAGTATTAACTCTCGATATCTTGGAAACTGTAGTGTGATAAATCAAATGTTCACTGCTGTTTTTCTTACTGGAAGATTTGAAGGTGTAATGAATGTCAAGCCGTGAATGTTAGTATTTAGCCCATTAGTATGTGCTTTTTATTAGCTTTCCTTGTTTAAATATTTGTTGGTGGCAAAGATAGATGGGAGATATAGCTCAAGTTGTCACTTGTCACCTTTTCTTAACAATTATTCTTTTGCATTGAAGGTTATTGAACACAAGCCGTATGATCACAAGGCCGATGTATTTAGTTTTGCAGTTGTTTTATGGGAGTTGCTCACCGGAAAGGTATTTCTTATTCATACTATCTGTGTGACCATTTCAGTATTAATTTTTCTCGTGTAAATTATCGTGTTTTTCTTTCCAGCTTCCATACGAATATTTAACCCCTCTACAGGCAGCTATAGGAGTGGTTCAGAAGGTACTTTTTTTTGTTGTTAAACTTCAGTGGTAGAATAAGCTAAAAGTTAATTGTCTTATTGCTTCTAGAAATTTTAGGAATGTGGTTTAAATAATTAAATGGAAATATGCATTTTGTATGGATAGTGATTTTTATTATTGAAACTTAAATTGATTTCAGGGTTTGCGACCCACCATCCCCAAGAACACTCATCCAAAATTTGTTGAACTCCTTGAGAGGTCTTGGCAGCAAGATCCAACATTAAGACCTGATTTCTCTGAAATTATCGAGATCCTGCAGCAGTTAGCAAAAGAGGTAAAACAATCATCTTTTTCCTCGTGAGCAGCTGCATTGTGTTTCATATGCTGTCGACTAAAGTGACTATTTATTCTATACGATAGCGTAGTTATTCCCTTCACGTAAGATGAAGGGGGTTGGGGACTGTTGAGGTTGGGGTAAATGCTTCATTTGTTGTGTGTTAGATATAATTATGCATATTTAGATTGATCATGTCATGGATAACACTTTGTTTGTATGTAGAACAGGTTGGAGATGAAGGAGAGGAGCGGCGCAAGGATAAATCGGGAGGACTTCTGTCTGTTCTCAGACGAGGTCATCACTAAGAAGTTATTTGAATAGATATGTTCATAACATGGTCATAGGTAGGATCAATCACAAGGGCCATTTTCATTTGTTTCTACATTGTTATGTACAGTTTTCTCCACACTATCTGATTGCTGCCATTATGATAGATCTCACGATTTAAGCATGTTAAAAATATGACCAATTTCCCATTTCTTTGAGTTTTACGACAGCATTTATTTATCTGTAAAAAAGCTGTTGATGGTACAAATTAAAATTGTCACATCAACTATCCTTTCAACAGAATGTTATTAATCTGAAGTATAATAACAATTGTACAATGGCTTCAGTTTCTTTATTTATGGATTCTATAGTTATCCATGTGATGTGGCATGTTTAACACGCCGATGGTTCGTGAATTGAGCTAAGCGTATGGATCGTGCTTGCAATCCTCTTATCGCACGTAAGTAATGTTTAATTTGTTATTAAGTTTTGTGATTTTATTATTTAAATTAATTGTGTAAAATAATTATAAAAATATGTAAAATATCAGTATAATTTTAAAAATTGTGAATAATGTTATCTTATTTTTTTTAAAAATGGATAGTAAAAAATATTTATTTTCTAAAATTGATTGACATGAAACTCGAGAACTGATGGAAACTATTACGATGAATGTGGATGGAAAATTGCCTCGGTTAAAGAATCTTTGTCACGCAGTACTTGCCTCGTTTGGCAATTTTATCGAAAACGGTAGATCATAGTCGATTATTGTTTATGTAAGCCATTGTCATGATTTGTTTGATCGAACTTTCTATTGTCGTTTCCTCACGCCCAAACAATACTCGAATTTATGTTGTGGTCTGACTAGGGCTGTTCAGGAACTGGTTAAAGTTGAACCGAACTGTTAAATCGAACCAAATTATTTATTAAAAAACCGAACTGAATTAAAGAAATTAAACTGAAACTGAATATATTATGTAATTCAAGAATTGAACTAATTTTTAAATAAAATTATGTTTACTTCAACAAAACTTATTCACTCTCTTATAACATTTATTTCCTTCATCACCTCTGTCTTCTCCCCAAAAACAACCACATTTGCCGTAGGAGACAACTTGTTAAAACAGATAAGACAATTCAATACTACTTTGTGGAAAAATCCTTGACACTTACTAATATTGTCAGTAACTTTGACCGTGCTTGAGAGCCACTTAACGAGGGTCCCACTCAAAAGTGTCGTCTTCATCTAGATGAGATTCTCCAACAGGTGGTCAAGGATGGCTTGCTTATCACAGGAAAGACTGGACAGATCAAGGATTTGCTTGGGGTAAGTTTTCCAATACATGGAAAACTGAGCACAATGTCTAGGAAGAAAGGGTATTTAAAACGGCTCACCCTCACTCTAAAGAATTGATATTTAAAAGTTAAAACGCTTGAAACCGATCGTCAAAGGAACAAAAAATTTACTTCCTTAGGCACCACTCAAACTGTTAACTCAATTTTATTTTATTTTTCAATTCAATTGTTAACAGTGTATTTTAATTTTTTAATAATTGCGCTATATGAATTCTTAATATTTTATAGAATAAAATACGGAGATGTCTATATTACACCCGGCAAATTTATTAAAATATTGTAAATTAAAAAATAATTTATTATTTTATAGAAAATCTGAAACAATTTTTTAATCTGGGATTTTTTTGTCACGTGGAACAAAATTTCGCCAAACGGCTGGCGAAAGTATTAATTTTTGAATTTTTTAAAATCTATTTCGCCAAAAAAAATACGAAATACGACTTCTTAGAGCGGTTAAATTAAAACCGCTCTCAGTAGTCTATTTTAGAGAGCGGTTCCTTTTGAACCGCTCTCATAACTCATATTTGGGATGGACGTGATCACCTGACATTGAGAGTTAGGAAGAGTCCAAATATTCCCGGTGGATTAGAAGGTATTCCGGAAGAAATTATTCCACATCTGGAGTTAGCGGGTTTTGTTAGAGTGGCTAACTTGTCTAAGCTTCCTGTAGACGTGAGATTGATTACTGCATTAGTAGAGAGGTGCAGGCCCGAGACGCACACCTTCCACATGCCTCCTGGAAAGTGTACTATTACCCTTCAGGATGTTGCTATTATATTATGATTACGCATAGATGGGAGACCTATTATAGCACCCACTGGGGGTGATTGAGCTCAGATTGTGGAAGACAGCCTAGGTATGAGACCAGGATCAGAGGCTTTTGTAGGGAGTTTCTTGAAGATGAGCTGGTTGGACGAACACTTCACTCATATTGCCATGCATAATCAGACTCCACTGCAGATCACTCGGTTTGCTAGGGCATATATATTGAGGCTTATTGGAGGGTTCATGCTTCCTGATCACTCTAGCAGTAGGGTATCTGTGAGGTACTTGCCTTTACTTGAAAATTTTGAGTTGACCGGTCAATATAGTTGGGGTTCTGCAGTTCTAGGTTATTTGTACCGAGAGCTATGCATGGCCACCAACATTGATTGTGTTGCTATTGGAGGACTGACTGCGTTAATTATGATTTGGGCTTGGGATAGATTTCCCCAGATAGCACCTATCAATCCTCCCTATAGTCGTCCTTATCTTCCGTACGGTGTTAGGTAAGTTGGTATTGTTATTGCTAGCACTACGCATTTGTAGGTGTTCTATAATGTTATTTGTTTGGCTTCATGTTCTATATTGAGGCTTATAGCTCTTTCTTCAATGCTATATTCTTAAACCGGTGATTAAAGTTGCTGGCAATATGACGAATACAATATACATGATACGCATTTGGAGGTTGCCACCCAATGTGTGGATTTGACACAGCTCCTTTTATACTTTGATGTCTATCTGATATCAAACAAATTCCTGCTCTATCGGTAACATGCAAACGAATCAATGCCAAAAACCATTCCCATGCTGACAGTGTTTCTCCTTCAACAATTGCAAAAGCTACTGAAAGAACACAATTGTTTCCATCTTGAGTTGTTGCAATGAGCAACGTATGACGATACTTACCATATAAGAACGTCCCATCCACTTGTAATATAGGTTTGCAGAATTTAAAAGCCTCATGACATTGTTCGAATGACCAGAATAGTCGTTCAAATACTCTATACCTATTATTCACTTGATGACCAACCACATACTCTTTTGTTTCAAGTTTATAAACAGATCCAGGAGAATTTAATTGCATGTATTCTAACCAACGAGGCAAGGTAGCATATGATTCATCCCAATCACCAAATACTTTAACAATGGCTTTTTGCTTCGCTTTCCAAGCTTTTTTATATGAAATTTTATATCCAAACTGAGCACATATTCGTTCTTGTATTAATGAAATATGTACCGACGGTTCCTCGTTGACCATTCCTACATAAAATAAATTTTCTCAAGTTAATAACAATGTCATTGTAAAAATAAAATAAAAAACTTGATATTTTACTTACCAAGAATACATGAACAAATTAAATCAGAATATAACTTTTGATGATCTTGAGAAATTCTCATATTGACACATGTATGTGAACCACCCCACCTAGTAATTTTTCACTTGTTTGAATTCTTCAACAATGAAGCCCTCACTCTCCATGGACAACCAGAGGTATGATTTAAGCATTTAACGTACAAACATGTTGGTTTAGACTCAGCCACAAAATAACTTTGATGAATCTTCATTGCGTAATGTTTTAATGCATTCTTCACATCTTCTTTACTGTCAAAATATAAGCCAACAAATAAAGGATCTCCTTCAACCCATGAATTGACTTCTTGAAGATGTTCTTCATCCATTTCTTGATCAGGATATTCTCAATTAATATACTTATACTTTGGAGTAACATTCCAAAAAGGAATTACAGTATCTTCTGCATTATATTTATCATTAATATATAAATAAATAACCACAAAAAACAAATTCTTTATAATTATTTCACATTACCTCCTACATTTTCGGTTACTTGTATATGTAAGTTGGAATTAAACTCGCCTTCAACATCAGTAGAAGAAAAACTGCCTAACGAAATTTCTGCTTCATCATCTCCATCAGTGTAACTCTCATAATCTGAGTGTTCATTATCTTCATCAACATCATTCCTAACTCCTTTATTGCAACAAATTTATCAGTTTTAATTCAATCAATTACATATATTACTTAAAAGACATTAGAACAAAAATAATTTTACCTTCATTATAATCACGACTCACAAGGGTCCTATCATTTTGTTGTCAAAGTGATAAATTTAAATTCATCGTCTGTAAGGACATTGATGAACTTCCACCAACAGCAATATCTACATATAACTCAATAATATTTCTACTAGATTGTTGTTGAAATGCACTTATCATACAATCAATATCTTCATTATCACATATATCCAAAGCTGTATACTGTCTAATATTTTCATCAATCAAAAAATGATAAATTAATATAGAAATCACTTGATTATGATTAAGATTGAGTTTCACATGAATTTTTCTTTTCAATGTTTCATAACTTATTTCTCGTTTTATTTGAATTACTTTTTTACTTCCTTCAAAACTTACTCCTTCATTTCCTTCATAGATTCTATCATTCCAATATATAATAATAACAATCTCACTCATCCTGCATTTTATTCAAATAAACTTTATTTAATATTTAAACTTTACAATAATTAACATAAATAAAATAAACAATACTCATTAATTAAATATAACTAAAATTATACATTCAAAATTAAATAATAAAATTATTAAATAACACATACCTGAGATTTTCTTCTAATGTGTCCTTCCGATGAAAATGAGAGAAGGGTTGGGGATATATATAGCGTTCAAACTTTGAAATTGGAGTGTGCAATTTCGCCACCAAAATGAAAAAATTGCTATTTGTTTCGCCAGTCCGATAACGAAATTAATTTAAAAATATATTAAAAGAAAATTTTCGCCATCAAATATGCGAAACTATACTTACATTTCGCAATTCGGTTGGCAAAATTCGTGATACGAGTTACTGTATATACCTAAGAGAGCGGTTCAAATGGAACCGCTCTCTAAAAGGAGTTATGAGAGCGATTTCATTTGAACCGCTCTCTATAATGAGTTATGAGAGCGGTTCCATTAGAACCGCTCTCTTGAATAGACCTATGAGAGCGGTTTTAATTTAACCGCTCTAAGAAGTCGTATTTCGTTCTTTTTGTGGCGAAATAGGTATTAAAAAATTCAAAAATTAATACTTTCGCCAGCCGTTTGGCGAAATTTTGATCCACGTGGCAAAATCATTCCAGATTAGGAAATTATTTCAAATTTCCTATAAAATAATAAATTATTTTTTAATTTACAATATTTTAATAAATTTGCCATTACACCCTCTTCCTTTTTGTTTTGAACTTACACTTCCTTCCCTCTCAAATACAAAATGAGCTATACTCTCATCCTTTTTTCATTTTTTTCATCAAATCAACATTAAATCTCATTAACTCATACTTTTAAAACGAAGATCTCACGCTTAATATCCAAACTCAAGGCGTGTGGTTTGAACAGTTAGGGTCCTCCTCAACCAAATGTCAGGGGTTTGATAATTTCTTGGGTCAGCTGTCTCACCCATCGAGGTACCAATAAGTCAGCGAAGGGATTAGTCACCGAGCTCATTTCGATGGATACCCTCATCGTGCACCAAAAAAACCATTCATCACTAGACCAAGCTTAGTGGCTTAGATAGTTATTAGTTTGATTAAAATAATAGTTTTAACTTTATAGAAAATGTTCAAAATTTTGAAAAAAATAAATTATTCAAAAGCTAAAATTAATTTTTATTATTCAAACACATGTAACTTTATTATATTAAATTTGGTTTTAAAAATTACATAATGAAAATAGACAAATCAAACATGCTTTTATTATTTTCTCTATTGAAAAATATAATTTGCATTTACAAAGCAAACACATTTTCTCAAATTTTAAAAATTGAAAATAAAAGCCAAATTCAAAAATACACCATTTATCTGAATACAAAGAACTACTAAGAACACACAAAGTTCAGCAAAACAGAATGCTACACCACAAACATACTACCTCTTACTTCTTCTACTGCAATCCTCCTCCTGTCTGGGAATTACTGTAAATGCGGTATATTGAGCACTTCAACAAGGCTTTCTGCATAAGTGTGGGAGACATGATAATCCTCTCTGTTAGTTGGCATTGGCTGAAGTTCATTATTCTGGAGATTGAGGAGGTAAAAGAAAGTTTCCGTAGGCAGTTGTTCCCGGCAGATAATTTTTTCATCCAAGATATTCAGAGGTTCCAACATCTTTGAAAATGGTCCCAAACTGTAATGTCTAACCCACCTCTCCCCATCATCTCCTGAAAATGTACCTGTGTTCTCTAATACCCACAAGTCAATGGAACTTGATTTAAGGTTTTCCATCTCATGATAATTAAACATAGCAAGCTTTTGGTTGTAGACTGCAAGCTGATTGTGTACCGTAAGATCGCTGCCATTGGTATCAATGGCTTGATAGGCTAGTGAAGGAGCTTTTAACTTAGTGAAAAGCTCCTGTCCAATGTCAAATGATAACAAAGAGTCCATGTTGTAGTCAGAGAGGTCCGCAGTGACTTCCCAGAATACTGCTCCATCAACACACACATAATCTGACAATAGGTGCAGCTTTTGCAAATTAGTAACATCAATGTTACTCCAAACATCCGTTGCAGCCGAATACACTCTGGCTCCATGAATCAAAAGCTTACCATCCATTTCAAGTCCCACTACCTTGTATTCACTTCCAACTTTATTGAACCCAAACCCAAATGCACTATTATAGGAATTCGGGTTGTCAAACCTAGGTAGCGGTGTGACTGCTCTTGTTGCTGGGTTACAAAGAGTAAGACTCATCCTATCCGCATGCTGGAAGCACAACAAGCCGTTACTAGAGCCAATCACCAACCCATCATTTAATCCAAATTCACGGAATTGAAAGTTCCGAACGTCAAAGTCTGTCCTCATCAACGAGAAAGAGGAAGAACAGAAAGCAGGGAGTTTAGCAACACGTTGGAGAACAATCCGTTGATACTGTTCAAAGTGGTTAAAATGGGCTGAGATAAACTGAGGATTTCTCATAAGTCTCCCCCAGTCTTGAGAAACCGATTGGAATCGAGTCAATGACTTCACGGGAAGTCTCATAAGAATGTTGTTTATTAAATCAGCTGGACGAATATGAGGCCTTGTATTGTCATTGTTATCGGCCATTTCTGTTTCGGTCTGAAAAAAGAAAAACAAAATGAAAGCCACGTTCAAAGTCACTGTTTCTATAATCTATAATTAGTAACCAAATCACTCAAAATCACAGATAGAACTTCAGTGAACAACAAAACAAAATCACACAAAAACAAGGCTAGAGCTAGTGACTAACAACAAATGAGGGAAGAAGGAGAAGAATAAAGATTTTATACCAGAGAGAAAGTGACTTGAGACATGAGAAACTGAAATAGAAGCAGAAGCTGGTCTCCGGAGTGCCGGTCGCCAGAGCCGCCGGCGACAAAAGGCAGAAACAGGAAGGGCAGAGGTCGCGGGAGGGAGGGGAGAGGGAATGCGCGGGAAGTTACTAACTGTTGTATTTTATAAAATGGAAAAGAGCATGAATACTAAATAATGACTAAATATAAGGCAAATTATATCAATATTTTCTTAAATTTATTAATATTAATAGAATTTCTTTGCGATGCACAATCATTCTTAATAGGTTCCTCCATAATTATTCTTGTAATATCAATTATATTTATTAATATATACAAAAAGTTTAATTATTCTAATAACTTAATATATTGATAAATGCAATAAAATAAATAAATTATCTTTGTTTTTTTAATAGTTTATATATTTATATTTATATTAAAAATAATCATACCATATGTAAACCTTAATTATTATGAATTTATACTTATTAAAATTTATTATAAAATAAAAATTACTGGAATTAATTAAATTTACTAAAATAATTATTAAAAGTTAAGAGTTGTCTATTTATTTTTATTTAAATTAGTTATTGTTATTTTAATAGCTTAATTTATAAAATATTATTTTATCATTTAATTATTATATAGTTAAAAATATTTATTATCAATTTATAATTAAAATAATAAATTATTAACATATTATATTAAATTTAATTAAAAATTTAAATAAATGTAACAATTAAATTAAATTAATTTTATAATGTTTTTAAATATAACTATACTTGATATTATTTTTATGATATTTTAATATATTAAATAAATATTTTTATTTTTTAAAACATTTTTATATTTAAAATATATTTTTTAATTTATTTATATAAAATAAATTAACAAATATTATAAATAAATATAATAATTATTTAAGTAAGGCCGTTAACAACAGCAGTATGAAAAATAAGGAGCTAAACCCCTCTTCCATAAGCCCCGCGAAGCTGTGCCTCGGAAGTTACTCCACTCCCATACTTTCAGCCGTCGGCGCCTCGGGACTTCTCACCACCGTCTCCGGTTGAATCTTTGCCGTTGATCTAATCCAGGTTCAGATTTCACTTCCTATCATCTCTCTTTCGTTCTTTCTTTTCTCTCTGAGAGTTGGTGACTTATTAGAGAACTCAATTTCGCCGCAGAGAAGAGATGAGGAAGAAGGTGGACGAGCGAATTAGAACTCTAATCGAGAATGGCGTCAAAAGCAGGCACAGGTCCATGTTCGTCATCGTCGGCGACAAGTCACGTGACCAGGTATGTCTCTACCACACACACGCCGTTGAATTATCTTGCGTAGTGCACTGGTTTCACCAGAATCTGGAACGATTTCGGAAACTTCGTTTGTAGTGCAATTTAATTTGGTTGTTGAATGTTTGTCTCTGCAGATTGTGAATCTTCATTACATGCTTAGCAAGGCACAAATCAAATCCAGGCCAACTGTTTTGTGGTGTTACAAGGCCAAACTTGAACTCAGCAGGTTCTGTATATATAATTGATGTGTACTGTGACATTAACGGTGTATATGCGTTGTTAGAGTTGCTCTGGACGATGAACTATGGTTTTGACATTAAGATGATTGCGAATGCAGTAATAGGAAGAAATATGCCAAGCAGGTTAAGAGATATAAGCGGGAAGGTCTTTTGGATCCTGACAGAGTTGATACTTTTTCGTTGTTTATAGAGAGTGGGGGATTAACTTATTGTTTATACAAGAATTCCGAAAGAATTCTCGGGAATACTTTTGGAATGTGTGTACTTCAGGTATGTGACACTTGCTATTAATTAATTCACTCTGTTGTTCTTTCCAGGTGTCTTTCCCTCTTCTTTTTTAACTAAGAGACATCAATTTCGCCATTGTCTTTCCTTTCAGGATTTTGAGGCGTTGACACCTAATCTCCTAGCAAGAACAATTGAGACTGTGGAAGGAGGAGGGTTGATTGTTTTGCTGCTTGGTTCTCTATCCTCACTGACCAGTCTGTACACCATGGTGATGGTATGAATGTTTATGAACTTTATTTTTCTAAGCTTTAACTATTTATTCATTGGTTATATTTTCTTAAGAAACATGCTCTATTATTACCTAACAAGTTAAAGAAGGACAAGAGAAGAGACAAGGTATCTTGTGAGAGAGAATGCAAAATACTAAATTCACAAGAAGAACATATTGGCTAAGTAGAGTTTACTCCCTTCTATGATCTATATACATCTGACATTGAACTCTAGATAGTTATGTAATGAGGCTATGAAGACTACTTTATCCTACAAAATACCAAAGCTTATACATGTAATTTATGTCATTTCTGTCCAGTGTAAGCAACAAAAATTAGCTGCTCAGGACAGAATACACACCAGCCACCCATGTTTCTCTCTTTACTCCCCAGTCTGCCTATGGTTGCAGTACAAAAAAAGTTTCAAGCTGTATTAATTATAATTGCACGATTAAAATGACTTTTAGTATATATAAAAAAAGGAGTTGTAGTATATACAAGAGGCATCAGCAAAGTTCTTCATATGCAGAGTGGCTGTTCTGCAACCAATAGCCTACACTCATGTTAAACGTTTTATAAAATGCAAATTTTCTGTTCACTGATTGCAGGATGTCCATTATAGATTCCGAACTGAATCTCACTCTGAAGTTGTTGGGCGCTTTAATGAACGCTTTTTATTATCACTTGCTTCTTGCGAGGCATGTGTGGTCATGGACGATGAGTTGAATGTGTTACCGATTTCATCTCACATCAGGTCTATTACCCCAGTTCCGGTTAAGGAGGTACTGTGATAGCATCTTTGACTATCTGTTTCATTTTTCATTTTTCTTTTGAAGGGGACTGTGGATGATTTTGGGTTTTAATGCATGCATGTTGGAAGACATGTTTGTTCTTTTCTTGACTTCCAAGCATAGTGTTCATTTTAAATTTTAATGAAGTTCCATTTGATTTTTTACATATGAATTGATGCTGTAGGACTTGGAGGGACTCTCAGAAGCACAACAGGACCTAAAAAACCTTAAAGAACAGCTGAATGAAGATTTCCCAGTTGGGCCGTTGATTAAGAAATGTTGCACTTGGGACCAGGTATGAGTTTTATCTGTCAACTTTGCATTGACTACCACCATAAACAGAATTGGTTTTCGTGCATGGTGGATGTGAGCGTTATCTGGTTTCTGACAATAGGGAAAAGCTGTCATCACATTTCTGGATGCAGTTCTGGACAAGACACTTCGTAGTACTGTTGCATTGTTGGCTGCTCGTGGTCGTGGGAAATCAGCTGCTCTTGGTTTATCAATTGCTGGAGCAATTGCTGTGGGGTAGTTTGCTTTTCATACATTCTTGATATGGTTATTTCTGTTAGTTATTCCGGTTTTGTTTGGATCTCATTGTAAGATTATCTATTTAGGTATTCAAATATCTTTGTAACTGCACCCAGCCCAGAGAACTTGAAAACCTTGTTTGAATTTATATGCCAAGGTTTTGATGCACTTGGGTACAAGGTACATGTTCTTCTCTTCATTAATTATCATCATTGTTTCATTGAGAAACTTAAGTTGCAGAAACTTTGAATAGCAAATGGGAAGTTAAATTTAGGTAGTGGGCTGGAGTCGTAAGTACTTCTCCTGGCCATGTGCATTTATATTTGATTTCCCAGTGGTTCATTGCTCAATTTAAATCAAATTGTACATATCAACTTGTGGACCAAGTGTACTTTCCTGTTCGGATGGTTGTCTAGGAAGTTTTGATATGGACAAAATGTTAGTGTACCTAGATATAAAAAATGAGTTATTGAAGGGAACAAACGAGAAATAGGGAAAGTGTGCAGACCAATATATCAAACAATTGACCGTAGATATGGGTATATATGACCAGAAATGGGCACGAGAATGGTGTGTTAATCAATTTAACTAAGGTTTACGTACCTGGAAAACAAATCTCCTCTTTACTGTATGTAGTGAAATCTCTTAACATATTATTTATGTGACTTAGATATCATCGCTTATACCCAACTTGCAGCTAGCTTATCCACCACTTATTTACTCTCTTTTATTCCCTTTGGCAAAAAACTGCAATAAGTAATGATTAATTATACGCTAAACTTATCTATTAAATTATGTGCCATACATTGCAAGCCTAATAAAATATTAAAGATTCCACATTCCTATTGTTGGAGTAACCAACCCAGTGTGATAGTTTTATATAGGGTTATACCTTTTACTTTGTCAGTCAGTACAATGCCTAGTGATTGTTCACTTCACATTGATTTTGGGCCTTATTATCTCCTTTTCGCTTCATTTACTTGGGGAACAGTAATGAGTGAGAATAAAATTTTCCTAAAACTATTTATAATTTTTCAATTGATTCTATTTAGTTTGATCATAATCCTATCTTTTAATTCTGTACAGACAGCCCAACCTCTTGCCTTTCGTTTTTCCGCATATAGAATGTTTAAAGAGTAAAAGAGTGCTACACTTTCCTTTGTTAACAGGAACATATTGATTATGATGGGGTAAAAAGCACGAATCCTGAGTTCAAGAAAGCTACCGTAAGGATTAACATCTACAAGCATCATAGACAGACCATTCAGGTTAGTTCATTGGTAGTGCATATGCTTCTGCATTAATAAAAGTCTTGAACGTCAAGGATACTTATTGTTGCTGTAAGGATACATGTAGATGTGATTCTGGACTTGTTTTCATCTTATGTTTCAGTACATACTCCCGCAAGAGCATCAAAAGCTTTTGCAAGTTGAACTATTGGTT